ATGTGCTTGCCCCATGGAGAGCACCAGAGTCCCTGGTTGTTTTTTGTTGTGGATACCAGGGATCGAACTCATGACCTCACGCTTGCCAGGCAGGTGTTTATGTCGCTGAGCTAAATCCCCAGCCCCAGCCACTCGGTTTTTGTTCTGTGATTCTCTACCACTATGAGCACGATAGAAGGAGTGGATTTAAAGTCCTGTTTAAAATTAAAAGGTGAACCATCCCAGCCCTCGGGAGGCTGAGGCAGGAGGATCACTGGGAGTTCGAGGCCAGCCTGGGCTGCATAGTGAGTTCAAAGCCAGCCTGGGCTGCATACCAAAGCTCTGTCTCAAACAAAACAAAAGTAAACTAATAAGCAAGCACAAGGAATGGCTTCTAACTGCACCAACCCTGTCCTCCCAGCGCCCCCAGGCACACAAAGCCAAAATACCTGATCCAGTCTCGTTTGCACGGCAGATTTTGTTTGTTTGTTCACTTGTTTTTTGAGACAGGATTTTGCTGTGTAGCCCAGACTGGCCTTGAACTGACACAGTTCTGTGCCTCAGCCTCCTAAGTGCTGGAATGACAGGTGTGCACCTCCGCACAGTCTGCACGGCGGTTTTGATTCCCTGCTGCCCCCCCCAAAAAAACCTTGATCAAAAATTCCCCTTCCTGGCAAGGGGACCAGGTCAGGCCAGGACTCCTGTCCACTTGGCTATAGATCCTCCCATAATCCCGGGACTCAGACTCCCCGCTGGCCCCTCTCTGGTCTTCTGTCCCCCTTACTGCCCGCCCCCTGTGGCATGCACTTTCACTTTTAATAAATCTTTGCTTTCTTTTTTGTTTTCTGTCTTTTCGAGACAGGGTTTCACTATGCAGTCCAGGCTGGCCTTGAACTGGCACAATCCTCCTACCTCAGCCTCCTCAGTGCTGGGATGACGGGTGTGTGCCTCCTCACCCAGTTTGCATTGGAGTTTTGACCCCCCACACCCCTCAAAAAACACCCCTTGTATCAGAACAAGAAGCCAAGCCCTGCCTGTGAGGCAGCAGCCTACAAGGACCATTGTGGGGAGAATCAGACACCAGCCCCTTCCAGCGTGCAGGCTGGGAGACAAGAAGAACAAATAAAGATGCCCCTGTCCTGTCCTCCCCCGTGCCCCCATAGTGACCGGCTGAGTTGGAGAAACGCAGGCTGGGATGATAGCTACTGCGGTAAAAATACAGTGTAGCCTGTGGTGTTAGTGTGTCACTGACTCTGCAGGCCTAAGCCTGTGGTCTGATCATCTATTTGGAGGATAACAGTACTCCACACGGCATCTAGGAGGCTCTCCTTCTGAAGGTGGTAGCCATTGTTGATTACCTATTATTTTGTTTTAAATATTGTATCATTGGCTTTTATTTTGTCTTGTTTGATTCTATTATATCTGAGGGTACGGGCAGCTATTTTGAAGACAACAAGAAGCGCTCTCGTGACCATGGTTGATTTCCTGGTCCCTTGTTTTGAAGTCCTGTGTCACTCACACTGTTTTCTTTTTGATGGGCTTTAGTGTTTTATTTTGCTAGGTTTGGTCAGGGATTTAGATCAGTGGTGTAAGCGCCTGCCTGGCAAGTTCGAGGTCATGAGTTTTGAACCCTGGTTCTAAACAAAAGAGAAAAAATTATTTTGCTAGATTTTATTCTCTTTAAAATAAAAAAAGAAAGAAAAGAAAGATCACCTCCATCTTCACAGCCCTTCCTCTTGCAAAACGTGAGACCTCGTCCCCATCAACACCAACCCTCGGGCCCTCTACCCTCTCGCCTCTTTGCCAAGCAGTTTGTGCTGGCTTCTGGTGTTGGGGCCACGCTGCTGACTCAGACACAGGAGAGGACGGTGACCTCCGCGGTGGGCCTGGGAATCTGAATTTCTGGAGCACTCCTCCCGCCCAGAGGGAGGACAGAGAGAAAAGCCAAAGCATTACCAATCCCTATTGCAAACATTTCTGGGAACACATTTATCACAGCCAGCAGGCCAGAGTGACAGAGGGGTTCATCTTGTCATTGTCACTCAAAAACCTTGAGGCAAGCTCGGGGCAGAAGTAGATCTCCCCCAGGCCTCTGAAACATAATCTCGGGGCTGAGCTGGGCGCAGGGCCACACACTTGTCCCAAAGCCCTGTGGCTAAGCACAAGTTTGAGCCCAGCCTGGGCAGTTTAGCTACTTGGCGAGACTCCATCTTGAGGAGGGTTCTTGCTATGAGCCAGGTTCTTGCTATGTAGTCCAGGCTGGCCTGGTACTCACAGTGATGCTCCTGCCTCAGCCTCCTGAGTGCTGGGATTATAAGAATGCGCTGCCACACCCAGCTAATGCCAATCTTTTTTTCATTTTCTTTGGGAGGGGTCAAAATTTAATCCTTGCAAAACATGGATCTGATGTTAAGTGAAGTAAATGAGACACAGAACTTTGAAGATCACATGGTTTCTCTTACATGAAAAACCTAAAATGTAAATAGAGAACAAAATAAAGAATAGCTAGTAGGGAGGTCTTTTTCCAGTGAGAAGGAACAGAAGGAGATTATCTGTGAGGTCACAGAGCCCAGCAGGTGACCGCCACCAGCCCTGCTCCCGGCTGCCCCCAGCGGACATCGGGCGCCAGGACACGGTGCACCGGGCGCCGGCCTCCGCCTTTCTCACGCTCCGAAACCATTATTCATGTTTTATTAGCGAGCCCGCAGGCCCCGGGGCTCCACAGCCCCGAGAGAAACTCATCCCTTGCCCTGAAGCCCCTTGGACAGTGTCCTTTCCCTTGCCTGGCGCGCCAGGGCAGATCCGGGCAGCGGTCCCAGCCCCGGGGCACACGCGCCAGCGCGCACACACGCACACACTCCCGGCTCTGCATGCGCGTCCAGCGGCCGCACCCACCGGAGCTGCTCGCAGAGTCCCAGCCCAGGCTTAGCGCAGGAGGCCCTGGGTCCCATCCCGGTACCGGGGGGCGGGGAGGGGGGCCCAATGAACAAAATCCAGGAAAATGAACCGCACTGGCTGGGTGTGTTCTTCCCAAGAACAACTGTACCAACCTGGTGAAGTCATCAATGCATTAAAGTCGAAGCCGGGTGCGGTGGCATAGACAGGAATCTCAGCACTCTGGAGGCTGAGGCAGGGGAACCCTAAGTTCAAGGGCAGCCTGGACTGCATAGGCAGACCCCGCATCAAACAAAACAAAATAGGGTGGTGCACACCTGTAACCCCAGCACTCAGAGGCTGAGGCAGAGGGTGGCTGGGCATTTGCAGCACAAGTGGACTACATCAAGCGTTCCAGTCCCCCTGTAATACACAGCAAGCCCCTGTCTCCTCAAAACCAAACAGAAATAGTACTAGAGCGCCAGGGGTACAGCTCAGCGGTACAGTGCCAGCCTGGCAAGTGGGAGGTCATCAGTTTGGTTTCCAGTACCAAAAAATAAAACAAATAATAATATTATTAAACAAATAAACCTACATAAATAATAAAGTGAAAAGTAAACGACCTTGAGGCTTCCAGACTCCTGACAGGGATGGTGAGGAAACAGGTAGCCCCCCGTATGTAACCTCACGCCCAGGGACTGGCTTTTGACCCCTCCTGGCTACCTGGTGCACGGTCCCCTTGGCAGTGTCCCTGGCAGCGAGACCGGCTCCCAGGCCGGTGGGCCTCTGACTGTGTGCGGGGCACAGAATGAGTCCCCTGCTAGTGTGGTTTTGGTTTTGCGTCCTGGGGACCGAACTCGAACTCGGGGCCTTCCCATCAGCCACAGCCTCAGACACCTTTGCATTTCCTATCGGAGACAGGGTCTTTTTTTAAAAAATTTCATTTATTTTTCTTTCTTTTTATGGGTACTGGGGATTGAACTCATAACCGCCTGCTTGCAAGACAGGTGTTTATGCTGCTGAGGTAAATCCCCAGCCCTGACAGGGTCTTGTTAACTTGCTTTCCAGCAATCCTTCTACCTCAGCCTCCCAGAGTGTTGTGGTTACAGACATGGGACCCCACCCCTGACTTTGCCACAGATTCAGACAGAGGGACAGGGAGGTCTTTTCCCCAGCTGGCAAGGAGTTAGATTCAGTCTCCGAAACACATTATAGCAGGTATCCCACGAGCTGGCCATTCGGGACTTGCTAAGGGTCGTGAGATGTCCTGGGCAGCCTGGGAGTGTACCTCGGTGGTGGAGCACTTGTGTCAAATGCACAAGGCCCTGAGTTTCATCCCTAGCATTGAAAGAAAAAAAGTACACATTGATAATCTCACCTATAATCCCACCACTCCGGAGGCTGAGGCAGGAGGACTGCCTGGAGTTTGAAGTTAGCCTGGGCTACATCGTGAGACCTTGTCTCGGAAGGAAGGAAGGAAGGAAGGAAAGAAAAAAAGGAAGGAAGGGAGGGAGGAAGGAAGGGGGGGCTGTGCCTGAATCCACCCCATCCACACACACAGGAAAACCGCCAGTTTCATTCCACCATCACACAGAGGAGGGGTGGTGTTCAGGCAAATCCTGAGGTGGCTTGGGCGGTCAGCACCCCTGTTGTACCAGCTCTGCCGGCCGGGAGCCTAGGCGAGGCCTCTTGCACGTCCCTCGGAGAAACTCTGAGTTTTGCTTCAGGGCCTGAGCTTCACCGCCCAGGCATGTCAGGGCCAGGCGGGTGGCTGCCTGAGTCGCAATCCCAGCGGGCCTGACCTGTGAGTCACCGCTGTCGGCCTGCACCCCTCCCTGACTGCTGCAGGGCCACCTGGAGCAGTGCCGGGCAGTGCAAGCCCAGGACCCACCACAGGATGCAGGAGGAGGGAGGTGTGGCCAAGACCACCCAGGGGTGCCATGAGTCTGCTCCTGGGTGCACACCTGGACAGCAGGTTCTGTCCAGGGGACGGGAGCCCGTCCCACGTGCCTGCCGCAGAGCCCTTGGCCTCTCTACCTGTTCCCAACAGCTGAAGGAATCGAGGACTGGGCCCGGGAGGAACCTTCCACGTGAGGCTGGGCCTGCAGCGGGGATTAATGCAAAGCCAGGCTGCCTGGGACTCAGGATCTGTTCACTGAAACCCTGTGTTTATTGAGCACTAAGCCCCCCAGCACCCCGGGGACATGGAGGCCACTCAGCCCCAGCCCTGCCCACTAGGGGCTCACAGTCTAATCTGCAGGGCCCAGCACACCATAGCCTTGCTAGGGGCCACAGCACTGATAGCTTCCCCCCATCCACCCCTGAACCAGGGCCTGAGGCATCGTGGTCTGTGTGGCACCGGTGGCGGACTGACTGACTGCCCCCTTCCCAATCAGTCTGTCTTCTTCCCCAGGCATCCTGGTCTCCGGTCCAGTCTGCTCACCCAGCACCTCAGGAACACTCCAGCCTTCCAAAGTGCTCAGCGGAGCCCCAGACAATGACAGAGCAGATGAGCGAGGGACTGAGTGTCCCCTTTCTCCGGGGCACTCACTATGAGTGTCCCCCTCTCCAGGGCTGTCCCTTAGTCCCCATGGCAGGCTGCCTGGGAAGAAAGAAATGTCTGAGGAACAAGGGGCTCCCAGGCTCCAGCTGACACTCATCAGTGAATGGCAGGGAGCCCTTTGCAGGAGAAAACATGGCTGGTGCTTCCCTCCTTAAGCCTGCAGCCGGCTCTTGAATCTCTGCTGTCCTGTGTCACCATCTCTGTGTGGGCTCAGGTCCTCCCAGGTGACAGCTTCTTTGGAACCACAGGGCAGCTCATTCTTGTCCCCAAGATCACCCAGCCTTGCTGTCACATTAATGCCTGGGGAGCTAGGTCCTTCTAAACCCCCTGACAGAGCCCCTGGGGCTCTCCGCCCCACCCTGGCACCCGACAGCCTGGGAGTGGCAGTCATGGCTCCGGGTCTATGTGATCTTGTACTTTGCAATCCAGGCAGTGATAAAGGCCCTCAGGCCATGTCTGCTCTGTGTCCCACGGTTCCCACGCCCAGCTGGAAAGGAAGTAGGCAGGAACAGGGCTGGGAGGGCAGGCAGTGCCAGTCAGGACAGATGGCTGCACCTGGCCCAGGTGAGCGGCTTGGTCTGGTGCCAGCAGTAGGGCAGGTGTGTCACTGCCCAGGCACTTGTGGCTGGCCCAGTTCCAGAGCCACCTCCTCCAACCAGGATGGGGGTTTCTGGAGCTCCCTATAGCCCCTTTTCCTGTCCAGACTTGGGACGATTCCCTCATTTCCTCCAAGTCTTCAGTCTGCCACCCAGGTGCTACACATCTGTTTCTGGTCTTCCTGCCCATGTTGGACTGGTCCTTGGGGTCCGTGGGAACGGCAGCTGCTGCCAAGAGCTCCTTTGGCCCAGCCTGCCAGGTTGCTCGCAGTGAGCTGGATCTGTGGCCCAACCAAGGGGCTACCAAGGCCGCCAGAGGCCAGGGCTGGGCTGTGCTGGCGGGGATGGCGCGGGCGCAGGCGGGGAGGGCGCAGAGGGCGGGGAGGCCGGCCTGGCCTCTGGGGTGGTGTAGGCGGATCTCCGCCGCAGGTGCTCCAGCAGGCGCGCGCTCACCGCGGGCTCCAGGACACCGCAGGCCGGCAGCACGCGTGCCAGGCGCGCCACGCAGGCGCGGTAGCCCTCGCGGTAGCTGTCCGTGGGCGCTGCGGGAGGAAAGTGGTGTGAGGCGCGGTGTGAGGTGCGGGGTCTGGGGCGAGGGCAGGGATGGGCGAGGTGTAAAGTCACTCACGGGGCGCAATGGCGGGGTAGGAGAATGCCGGCAGCTCCTGCAGGAAGTGCACAGTCATTTCCAGGATGTCCGCCTTTTCCAGCTTCGAGTAGCGAGAGTTCTGAGCCGGGCCATGCAGGGGAACAGAGACAGGGCCTCTCTAAGTCACGCAGGCTGGCATCGAACTCACCTCACACCCCAGGCTCGCTGGAAACTTGGACCTCGCGGGGTGGGATTACAGCCCCGCGCCACCAAGCCCGGCTCCAGCACCGCGCACCCGCGAGTTCAGGGTCCCGCGCGCTGGGTCTGCTCCTCCGTGGATGCACCCCGAGCTCAGCCCTGGGGACCGCGCGCGCCCCCTCTGCCTTCTCTCGCCCGGGCGACCCCCGCACTCACCTCCCTGCCCAGCAGCGGCAGGATGAGCCCCTTGAGCTGGCCCAGGCTGTCGTTGATGCGCGCGCGCCGGCGCTTCTCCAGCAGCGGCTTCAGGCTCTGCGGGCGCACGGGTGGGCGCAGAAGCCGCGGTCAGCGGTGTCGCGACCCGGGACCGGCCCGCCCCGTGCCATCCCGGGCTCCTACCTTACGCAGCTCGGCTGCATCCCCTTCCCTGCGAGGCAGCCCCATGATCTGCGGGTCAGCGGTAGCCTTGCGAAAGGCACTCGGTGCCGGCCCAAGCCGAGGAGAGCGCGGCGGAAGAGGGCGGAGCGCAGGGAGCCCGCGCCGCAGCCTGGCTTTAAGGAGCCGGATTCGGCCGCCCCGCCCCGCCCCGCCTTTGTTCCTGCGTAGGGTGGGGCCGGAGAGGGAGACCGGTGTCCCCGGGGATCCCACTCCCGCCTTCGCGTCCCATCTGTGGCGGGGGCGCGTGACGTGTGGGGCCCGTTGGCACCGTCGCTACGCCGACCCGGTGGGAAGGAATAAGGTTGTGGGGGGCTGCGCCCCTAGTCTCCAACGCGCCCTTCTTCGTTCTTTCCGCACCTGGGACGCAGCGGGTCTCCGAAGCCGCTCAGGGCCGGCAGGGGACCCAGGGGCTGCAGTGACACCGTCCGGGCCCCAGGCTCAGGGAGACCCCGCGAAGGTCAAGAGCGGGCGTCTCCGGTGAGCGGCGCGCGCTGCCAGCTGCTCGGAGGTCAGGGAACTAAACCCGGAGAGGTCACGTCTGGGGCTCGCCCTCCTCCTCGGAAATGCCCCGAGTCTCTGACCCTGAGGCTCTAAGCACCCAGAGGCGCTCTCCGAGAGGCCACCGAAGTCGGGACACCTAGTCTCCCCGCCCTTAGTTTTGGATAGTGAAACTGAGCCCCAAAGAAGAACCAACCCAGAGATCCTTGGGGTTCGTTTTCTACAGCTTTGGACTCCAATTTCCACCTGCGGAGCAGTCGGAGCTCACATGACCGGTGCGCGGGGCGGGCCTGGGTGTCCCCACCGCCCCCCATCGGCCCCCATCGGCCCCCCTCCGACCCAGCTGCGCACCACCCCTCCCCCGGCACGCCTCCGCAACGCGTGGCCGTTGCTGCCGCAAACTGGCAGGCGTCTCCCGCCCATCTGCTGCGGGCTCCCCGCCCCCGACCGGCTGGCCGGGCAACGGCCAGTCCCGCGGACCACACTCCGGACTGCGGGGCAGCGGGCGGCCGGGCGCCCGCGGGACCCACAGAGCATGAGCCGGGAGGAGGTACCTTGGGGCGGGGCCGAGAGCTGTCCAGGGTGCTGGAAGGACCCCTCCTTTCCGACCCCAGCCTCGGGTCCACCTTGCGCAGAGCGTCCACAGCGGGCTCTTGCTGCAGGCCGAGCTCAGGGCCCTCGCCTCTATGTAGTTCTAATCATGAAAACAAACCACTCGACCGACTTACGTGCCTGAGCAGAACTTGGGGGTACCTGAACCCCTCTCTTCCTGCCATGCTAGAGGCCACATGGCCGTGGGCTAGGCCCTCCGAGGTTATCAAAGAGAACTCTGTAGATTACACACACACACACACACACGTCACACACCTGGGTCACTCAATTCTGTTCCTGCTCCACATTCTCATCCGTGGGGACAAACTGATGCCAGCACCGGAGGGCCCTGGACGGGAGTTCAGGTCCTCCTGGGACGTTCCCTGCCAGGCCTGCGACCGACCAGAGCTTGAAGAAGGCAGGTGGGGGAGCAGAGAAGCAAACTCTCTCTGCAGACGTGGCGATGCCTGATTTGCAGTCTTTCTGCTCACCTCTGCACCATCGCTGTAAAGATTTTGACGTGATAAACCACCGTTCCCGCCACCCAGAGGATTCTGGGGGTTTGCTGGTTACTTGGAAGCAGTCAATAGCATCAGGGGAAACTACCCTGGTGATGTACACCTGCATTCCCAGACTCTGGGAGAACTGCAAGTTCGAACCCAGCCTGGGCAGCTTGGCAATTCTGTCTTAAAATAAAAAATAAAATAGGCCTGGGGATGTAGCTTGGGACAAAGGCCCTGAGTGCAATCTCCAGTCTAACAACAAAAACTTTCATGCCTCAGTTTCCCCTGCTTTAAAATAGGGATAATAGCTGTGGGAATTAAACACCCAGGGGAGACTCGCCACCATGCGTTCCAGGGGCTCCACACAGGAGGTGCTAGCGAGGCTCTTCAGGGCTGCTAGGGAAGGGAATTCGGCAGACAGGGGAGACTCCCAGAGGTCAGAGAGGCCCAACAGAGCACCCGTCCCAGCTTGAGTTGATGGCACAGCGAACCTCCTGCGGGGAGAACCTAGACCCCCGGAGTCCCAGGTGCGGGGAAAGGAGTAAGGTCCAGCCAGGCAGGTGGAAATCGTTGGGAACCGACCGGGGCCATGTAGAGCACAATGGCTCGGGTTTTGTGGATGCCTAGGAGTTCCCGAGACCACTGTGCGTGGCGCCACCAGGTGGTGGGTCGGGGAATGGTGTCGGAGATAGGAAGACTCCCAGGGGTTTTGGACGGAGGCAGCTGCGCTCTAGAGCGCATGCCGCGCGGCCTGGTGCCAGCCTAGCCGAGAATCTGGTGAAACAGCCGGACGGCGCTGGGCTCTCCAGAGCCCCAGTGTGGACGGCGGGGCTGAGACCCGCAGGACGCAAGCTGTTTCAAGGTGGCGGATATGCCCATCATGCTCCCCGGCCCCCGGCCTCCGCTTCCGGCAGCTCTCTCCCGGATCCAGCAGGCCCGCTCCTCCAGTTCCCACGACCGGTTTTTAGCTGTGCCGGAGGGTGGCTCGGCCACTGCCCCCGTGTGGCCCCTGGCGCCGTCCCGTGTCCTTGCGCAGGGTCGTCGTGTCCTCTCCGGTTTCGATGTCTCTGCCGGTCCCAGCCTTTAGGTCCCTCTTTTCTCCTGGCTTAGCACCCCCGAGCGTGTGGTCGAGTCCCCCAGTCTGGGACACTGGCCCTGGGTGACTGGAATCTTGAGGTCTAGGTCCACAGCGCTGATGCACCAGGCGGTCCCTCCTGACTCCTTCGCTCTCCCCCTCTTCCCTGGCCCAGAGGGGGCAGCACTTGGGTCTGGAGTGGCCCTGGTTGGGACCTGCGCCTGTTGGCAGCCATGGTCTTCGAAGTTTCCACACCCACAATATCCCTTATCTCCACCCAAAACCCCCTCCAGGAGCCTCCTCGGAGTCCCTTTCCACAGCTGCCCCTCCAGCCTGGACACATCACTTCCTACTCCCCCCCGCCCCCCCGATTTCGCGTTCTGACCACACTTGTCCCCTCTGGAATCGCCATTATTGCTGCTGGCATGCGTCCCCAGATCAGCCCCGAGTGGCCACGGGGCAGATGATCCAAGTCGTCTGGACCCCGGACGACGCTCAAATTCCAGCCCAGCTTTGCTTAGGTTTTTCGTGGGGTAGATTAGGAGAGCGGACCCTGGTGGCCCGGGTTTCAGCGGCCGGACTGGGGGAGTGTCCGGCCGGGGCGGGGCTGGGCGCGAGGGCGGCGCGCGGGGCTGGGCGGGCCCAGGCTTAAGCGGGGCGTGCGGGGTCCCCGCCCCAGAGCACGGAGGAGGCGGAGCGGAGCGCGAGGCCGCGGGAGTGGGGCCGGGCTGCACCCGCTCCGCCTCCGGAGAGCTAAGGAGCAAAGCCCCGACGGCCCAGGGCTCCGAGGGCTCCCAGCATGGCGCCCCGGGAGACGCAGTGAGGCTGAGCAGCGGGGGCGGCGCCGCGGGCGGCACCATGGCCCTGGAGCGAGCGCTGCAGGCGGCGCGGCAGGGTGAGCTGGAAGCGCTGAGGTCCCTGCACGCCACTGGCCTGCTGGAGCCCACGCTACGCGACCCGCTGGACGCGCTGCCCGTGCACCACGCGGCCCGCGCCGGTAAGCTGCAGTGTCTACGTTTCCTAGTGGAGGACGTGGAGATGCCCGCCTCGTCCCGCGCGCGCAACGGGGCCACACCGGCCCACGACGCCGCTGCCACCGGCCACCTCGCCTGCCTGCAGTGGCTGTTGTCGCAGGGCGGCTGCAAAGTGCAGGTGGGTCCACGCCACTCTCGGGCGTCCTGGGGCTCCCTCCCCGGGAGAACTTGGTAGCTCCGGAGTGGTGGGTGGGATGTTCTCCAGGACTTTGGATAGGGTGGGCTCCTTGGATTGTGCGGGCAGATGCCTGGCATCCCCTGGACACTCCTGGAAGGGCGCCTGGGTGGCATGGGAGAAGCCAATGGGTTGGTATTTCCTGGGAAGAGCGAGCCCCATCCTGAGTCCTGGGGGTGGGGGCAGATTGAAGGCCCTTATATCAGGTGTGGAGTGAGAGTGGGGAAAAATCACAGTCCAGCCTGGGCAGTGCTGCACAGGCCTAAGCCAGGTGTGGGCTATGGCCAGGGGACCTAGGTGAACCCCAGAACACCAGCACCTTTAGGTCACCCAGCTCTCAGTCACTTATTACCCCAGCCTGAGCCTTCCAGCCGCCAGATACCAACAGGTCACTCAGGAGGGACCTCCTAGGGAAGTCCCAGCCAGTGAGGAGGCAGCCAGGTGACCGGAAGCACAGGAGACAAGAAGTGCCCTCAGGGACACTGAGCTCAGGAACTAGCAGGACCCTGCTCGAGGTCGGACGGGCGGAGGGCACAGGACTGATTTTGGGGTTCAGAGGCACAGTGGCAACTGAAGATGCAGGCGCAGGAATCAGGCAGCTTAGCTGGCCTGCCACTCCCTACAGATGGCCCAAGCTCCCCATGCCGCCTACCCTCAGAGTGCAGGCCTCCCTTCCTGTCCTTCTGGGGAGCCCGTCCCTTATCTCCTGGGCCACCCTGTTACTGGGGATGCTGGGCACACGGCCCAGGCCTCCTCTTGAGATGCATGACTCCCCGACGCCTCTAGCCAGCCCTGGCTGGCTGCCTTCTCTCCTCCCTAAACCTGGTGTCCAGCCCTGGACAGAACCCTCCCTCCCGCAGCGGAGGTGGAAGGAACAAGTGGCCTTGTGCCCAGCTTATCAAGTCCCCTGCCCTTCAGCAGGTCTGGGTACTAGAGCTGGAAGAGGGGGGGTGACCTGGATCCCAGGTCCTGCCCGCCCCGTGAGATAAGCAGCTTAGGGTGTAGGGCACAGCACGTGTGGCTCCCAAGGTCCACATAGCCGGGGAGCCTGAGGAACTGGCCTGTGACGCCCGTATAGGGCCACCACTACCCGGAAGTCCTGAGCCATCAGGACCCCTTGGAACCTCAGACCCCAAAGCCCACAGCCAGGGGAGGAGGAGGCCTTTCTCAAGAGCCAAGGCCCAGGGGCTTGGATCACCTCTGACCAGCTTCATCCTCTGGGCTCAGGGGACAGACTGGACCAGGCTCTGGTCCTCCTCAACTCCCTTCTTTCCTTCCTTCCTTCCTTCCTTTCTTTTTCTGTGAGTCAGTGTCTCACTATGTAGCCCAGGCTGGCCTCGAACTCTTGGTGATTCTCCTGCCTCAGCCCTCCAAGTGCTAGGAGTACAGTCATGCACGTCTGTGCTGGGCTGTCCTTGGGAAGCAGAAAGAGGCTCAGGGCCTCCCTCAGCTTCCTGGGCTTTTCGTTCCCTGCCCAGTCCTCCTGGCCTCCTTACTGGACTGGCTAGCCAGTTGTCCCCACCCCCACACCGGTTAATGACTTCCCACCTGTGCCCGTGGCTCCAGCCTCCCACCCCCATGTCCTCCTCTTGCTGGAGCCCTAGAGGCCTCCTTTTGGCTGAAGCCATGTTCCTTGGCATCCCTGCCAATCCCTGCTGCCCTGGTCACATCTGTCCCCATGGTGCCCTGTCCAGTGAGCAGGAGCAGGGAGGCCTCCCTTTTCTCATCTTAGTAGACTGTGTCCCCCTCTCACTGTGGCCCCAAACTCTGCCCCCGACCCTGCCCACCTCCCTGCAATCCTGCAACCTTGGTGCCAGAATGGTGCCCACTTTCCCAAATGCACCTGCCTCAGAGGCTGGCCCTCTGGGTTCCCTGCTTCTCCTCCTGGGGGCGGGCCACAGCCTCTCCCCAGCAGATGCAAGGTGGGGTGCAGAGGATAAATTCAGATTCCTGGGTGCAGCAGGAGTCTCACCCAGCCCTTCCCAGGAGCCAACACAGTGGCCGGGTACCCCAGGCCTTGCCCACCCATGCCCACAAGCCTCCTCCACAGGGCAAGAATACAGCCTGTTCCCATGGTCAGCGGGCAGAGGAGTCCAGAGAGGGTACCTTCCCACCCTCAGGCTGGGCTGTCCGAGGCACAGCAGGGCAGACGCTTCTGTTCCCTGTGACACTCGGATGAGCCCGGAGAAGAAGCAGCAAAGACTGGACACGGGGCCCTCATGCTGATCCAAGCCAGATTCAAAGCCCCCAGGATCCGATCAGCCCCAAACCAGGCTGCCTGAGGCGTGGCCATACCTGTAGGGGGCTGGCAGGGCCCCTAGGCAGCAACGGGCAGGTCGAGCCCCAGGACTTTAACTAAGTTTGTGCCCACAGGATAAAGACAATTCCGGTGCCACAGTCCTGCACCTGGCTGCCCGCTTCGGTCACCCCGAGGTGGTGAACTGGCTTTTGCATCACACTGATGCAGACCCCTCCGTGGCCACGGACACAGGTGCCCTGCCGGTCCACTATGCTGCCGCCAAAGGAGACTTCCCCTCCCTGAGGCTGCTTGTTGGAGACTACCCAAAGTAAGTGCCCGCCTTGTGTGCACCAGTGTGTGTGTGGGGGGGGGGCGGCACTGGGATGGAACCCAGAGTCCTGCACACTCGAAGCAAATACCATACCGCTACGCTATTCTCCCAGGCCGGGACCGCCTTTTTCCTGCTGGTTTTTGAGACAGGGTTTTGCTATGTGGTTCAAGCTGGCCTAGAACTCTCCGGGATCCACCTGTCTCAGACTCCCAAGTGCTGGCATTACAGAGCTGTGCCACCAGGCTGGTCTCAGGGCAGTGGCATGCCAGGCTGGTCTCAGGGCAGTGGCCAAGCCAGAGCTCTGTAGTCAGGCAGGTGAGGAGGCTTTGGCAGTGGTTAGAGCTCAGGGCAAGCTGCCTCTCCAGAGTGTCCTCAGTCCAGCCTCACAGCCAGCAGCCGGGCCATCGGAGAGCAGCTTTCCCGTTTCCCACTGCCCCTGGGAAATGGAATTCCCAAACCTGCAGGGTTCCTGGGCTGAGGGCTCTCAGAGTGGGCGTCCGCATGGAAGAAAGGGGCGCCCTGCAGAGCAGGGGAACAGGGGAGTCTGAGAAGGGAGGGTCCTGAGCGGCTCCTCTCTGAGGGAGTGGGGTGCTGGTGGAACAGGGAACTGAGTGGGTCGGGCTCCGGCCAGAGATCCTTATGAGTCCAGGTGGGCGTCTGGGCCGAAAGCCACAAAGGTGGGATGGACGGGGAGAGAGCAGCTGCCAGGAAAGGGGGTCAGGCCATGGGGCACAGGTGGGGGCCCTGTGAGCCGCCGGGCCTGGCTCCTGCTGTTTTCTCTGCCCAGGGCAAGCTGGGGCCCGCTCTAGCTCCTAGATGGGGGCTTGGTGGGAGACCCCACCCCGGCAGCTACACGGATGTCACTTCTGTGCCTCAGGACAAACAGGAGGTCTGGTCAGGCTGCGTCCCAGACTGTAGAGGAGAAGCCCCAGGGACAATGAGCTGTGGGGCCTCCTGTGGGGCCTGGCAGCCACGTCCACCTGGGGTACACCTCACCCCGGGATGGGATTTTGAGGCTCTGTCCCAGCCCCTCACTTCAGGCCAAAGACCGTAAGGTCCTAAGCAGGAGGGGCACCCTGAACTCCTGGTGTCCCCACTGCACCCGACATGCTGAGGGCCAGGCTGGGGGTGCAGAGCCCAGTGGATGCACCGTGGGACCCTGCTTACCCCAGAGCTGATGTCCCTGTGGGCTGTGGCCTCCCAGGTGCCGGGTGTGGGTGGGCCCTGTGCCCAGGCCGAGGCCAGACGGCTCAGCAGGTGTGTGGCCTGCTCCCAGGAGCAGCATGACCTCAGGGAGGTGGACAGTGGCAGGGGCTTCTCCCCCTGGGTGGCAGCTGGGAGCTGGCTGATAAGGAGGTGCTTTTGTGTGGCTGCCAGGCTGCACTCAGGGAGAAGGGAGTGGCCGGGCCTGGTGTGGGGGCCAGTGTGGCTGCTTCGCATCCGGCTTGGGGTGGGGCCTGCTGTTCCCCAAGACTGTAGCTGCCAGGGCTGGGAGCTGCAGGGAAGAGGCTGAGCTGTGCTCTCATGAGCCTCTGTGCCTGCCCGCTGTGAAGCTCTGAATTATTCACCAGGGCTCAGCTCTCCCCTGGCCGGCCTGGCGGGAGGAAGGATGCCTGTACCTCCCAGTGGGAAACTTGATCCCACCCAGGGAGTCTGTGGGCGGCCATGGTCATGGCGGTGACCAGGTGCGGGCCACTGGAGGTCTGGACAGCCCCAGGAGGGCCCAGCTGGTGCCAAGGCTGTGTCTGGGGGCGTTAGCCTGGGCTGGACATTGTAGGACACCCTGCTCCTTCCCTCCTTCCAGTCTGTCCCGGTTCACTGGGCCGAATCTTCCCAGGAGCAGAGGACTGACCATAGTGACCCAGGTGCTGCCCCTCTTAGGGAGGCCCTCCCTCCAAGGCCTCTGCAGAAAGGGGTCCTTAGGCTGGGAGGTGCGGGGCAAAGGGGCAGCTAGCTGGGGCTGTCCCAGTTCCTCTGGGGGGACCCCAGACTCAGCCCTGATCTCAAGGCATGGCCTTCAGGTTGGGGACTGGAGGGGCTCTGGGCTCTTCCCCCTGGGGCCCTGGCGCTCATACAACTGAGAGGGATGGAGACTTATCATCCTTGGGGAGCCCCAGGGGCTGAGGCTCCATGGGGCGGGGCTGCTCCTTTCCAGCTAGGCATCTGCTCTGTCAGGCAGCAGGGCTCAGGCATTCTTAATCACCACCCAGGCCTCGCCCTGCGTTTGCAGAGGTCACCAGGGCAGCCAGGGCCTGCAGTCAGCGCTTGTGCTGGGACATGCTGGGGAACCCAGGGGCTGTGCTTGTCCCCAACTCCAGGGGAGATTCTGGGGAAGGGAAGGCTGAGGCAGGAAGATCACAGCTGTGTTACCTAGGGAGCTTGAGTCCAGCCTGAACTACATAACAAGACCCTGTCTCAAAAAGTACATGAAGCCTGGCATACACCTGTAATCCCAGCACTCGGGAGGCTGAGACAGGAGGATCATTGCAAGTTTGAGACCAGCCTAGGCTACAAAGTTTGCACAAGACCAGCCAGAACTGCACAGTGAGACCCCGTCTCAAAAAGCAAACAAACAAAAACAAAATCGGTCATCCTCAACATTGTCATCATCATGGTCATCATGAAATAGCCCTGCGGCTGCCTCCCGTTTCAGGTCTTCAGCCTTCTTACCGCCTTCCTCCCTCCTCCCCAGCCTCTCCTGCAGCCCAGGCTGCCCCTCCGTCCTCCCAGTCTGCTGGGGTCTTCTCTGCCTTGTCAGCAGAGCCAGACCCAGGCTGCACAAACTGTAACCCACCCTCTCGCTCACCCCTCAGCGTCAGCGGCCAGCGTGTTCGTGTTCCTTGTGCTCTGTGTTTTCCTGCTGTCCACCCCTGACTCTCCGGGACGCCTGCGTCCTGTGCTGAGTGAAGGAAGAGCCTGTGGCCCTCACAGCTCACTGCATGTGACCTTAGACAAAAATCCCCTTCCTGGCCTCCCGGTGCCTGCCTGAACCTGTCTTGCCGCAGCAGGCCGCGTCCACAGGTTCCCCTTGCTTGGGGACAGCTGGGGGCACTCACAGGGACAGACAAGGAGACAGGCTGTGCTCGCGCCCTGCTCAGCTGCACCCCTCCCTGGTCATCTGTTCCTGCCAGCCCACCGCCCCAGGGGACGGTGCTGCTGCCTTCCGGTCTCTGCCTGCTCTGCACATGGGCAGCCTCTGGGTGCATCCAGTGAAGGACTGAGACTAGGGGATGGCGACAGTTCAGGAGGGGCAGCAGCCTAAGGAAGCTCATCCCGGGGCGAGGTGGGGGGTGGTCGGCCGAGGCCTCTATGAGGAGCTGAGAGCGAGTGTTCTAAAACCTTCTGTGCAGCAATACTGACCGCTTCTCTTGCTCTAAGCCCCACTTGGGTTTTTTGTTTGTTTGTTTGTTTGTTTGTTTGTCTTTTTGAGTCAGGGTCTCACTATGCAGTTCAGGTTGGCCTTGAGCTCACTTCATAGCCCAGGCTGGTCTCGAACTAGCAGCAATCCTCCTACCTCAGCCTCCTCAGTGCTGGGTGAAAGAGTTTTCAGCGCGGTTAGAAAATAGAATATAGGAGCTGGAGGTTTAGCTCAGCAGCATAAGCGCCTGCCTTGCAAGCAGGCAGTTGTGAGTTCAATCCCCAGTACTGATAAAAAGGAAAAAGACAAAATAAAACAATATAAAGTAAATTGGCCCTTATTTTAAGAATGTGGAGAGAGAACCTTGGACCACTGAGGTCTGGCTTTCTCTCTGCTGGACTCTGGCCCTTATTTTAAGAATGTGGAGAGAGAACCTTGGACCACTGAGGTCTGGCTTTCTCTCTGCTGGACTCTTGGTGGGGGCATACATATAGCTTAGGTTTGGGGTGGAGCCTAAGGGCATTACTGATGCACAGGTAGCCCATTGGAATTTATTTCGCACCACAGGTAAATTGCTTAGGGGCAGGGAAGGTGACCTTCTGCCTCCCAGCCTCCCACCTCGGCAGCATCTCCTTTAGGGCAAAATCTTTTCATTGGGATCCTTGGGGCTCTTGGAAGATAAGCAGGAGGCCTGCAGAGCAGCCCTGGCACTGGCAGATCTGTCCTCTCTTGGAGGCGGGAGTGGCTGGCGCAGGCTGGGCTGCTAGAAACCTGGTTCTTTGACCTGAGTCGGATTCCAGAGTGGAAGGCTCACTACGTGTTCCGCGATGCAGCAAGCCTGAACAGCGAGCTGGCACGAACCTGGACAGTTCTGCGACTCCGACCCCAGGCCTCGCATGCTCCTGCTGTCCCCTCAGGCCACTTGCTTCATCCTTACAGTTTGTCCGTATCCTCTTCTCCCGAAGACGGAAAAAAGCATGCGATTTTTAGGATCACTGCCAGGGTTTCATTGCTTCTCTTGTCGAGGTTTGTCCCAGTCTGTAGCTGTTCCGCCCCATAGTCTGCAGGCTCCAAGGCAGATCGCCACCGCGGAGGGCCTGGCGGAAGGAAAGCCGCTTCTGGCTCGGTGAGCAGGCGCACAGGCAAGGAGGAGCAAAGCCCGGCCCCGCCCCCTCTGACCAGCGCCCGCCCCCTAACCCCGAGGTCCAACCACTTTCCAAAAACCGTGCCGCTGTGCACGTGAGGCTCCGGGAGACATCTAGGTATAAAGCATAACAGCCAGGAAGCCTCGGATCCCTAAGGGCGCAGGTCAGGAGTCTTTGAAGACTCCAGAGCTTGGGATCATGATGGAGGTGAAGGCTAGGGTGCTGCTTGGAGTAGAGCCCTGGCCTACGAGGCACGAGATAGGTGTTCACGCCCCAGTGTCCTAAAAAGGATCGAGTGGAGTCCTTTCCTGACGTGAGGTGTGTGGAGACACAGAGGGCTGAGGAAGCCCACCCTGTGCTCTGGTGGACACGTGGTCTGCTGTGGCTGGGCAGGGTCAGCACCAGAGCCCATGCTGGAGAGAGCTGGGAAGCAGCACTGGGTGGACAGCTGGCCTCAGACCCTGGGAGAAGACGCCCTCACCCAGAAATGTCCCTCAGAAAGGAGGAGGCAGCCCTGGGCCCACCAAGCGCCCAGCAAAGCAGCTGAGAGGCCCGGCTGCTGAGGGAAAGAGCTGAGGGGCCAGAAGAGCAGGGGCTGTGGAGGCTGTGGCCAGGCAGCAAGAGAGGACAGCCCGGGTGGTGACACGCAGCAATGGCATCCAGACTGTGGGTGACCATGGAGGCCGTCATGTGGGCCACTTACCCTGTGGGAAACTGAGGCGGGGCAGGGTAAAGCATTCTGTGTGGGCCCCCGGAAAGCAAGCTGGAGGGGATAGTGAGTGGAGGCTGGGGCGGGGCAGGGGCTTGCTCCTGCAGCTGCCGCAGTGGTCAGGACAGGAATGCGATGGGCTGGAGCTCCGGGGTGTCCCTCACAGCAGCATGCTCCTGGCAGAAGTGGTGCCTGGCAGGGACTGGACACCCCAGGCCAGCAGTGGGCACCTCATGGCTGGCCCTGTTGGGCACAGGGAAGAGAGCATCCTGGGCCCACCTCCCAAGGAGGAGCACCAGGGTACCACCTGGGGGTGGCACTCAGCCCAGAGCCAGGCTTCCTGTGGTTTGGCTATGGGCAGCAGACAGACAGACAGACACCTGGGCCACCCCCTTCCAGGGGGAGAAGAGAGAGTGTGGGCACCGTGCCCATCGATCGCAGTGCTTGGAAGGAGAACCTGGTGCATAAACAGTGCTGCTGTCAGGGTTATTCTTTTTTTTTTTTTTTTTTTTTTTTTGGTCTTTTTCGTTTTTTTCATTACCACTGTCACTCACCCATCTCCCCAGGGACAGTTCTCTTTGTGCCTTGTACTTTCCTGTATTTTTTGTCCTCCTCCCCAGGGGGGTAGGGAGGGAGCCTTCTGGCCACACCAGAGAAGGACAAGGCGGGTGGCCCCTCTTCAGTGCAGCCATTGGCAAATCCGCCCATGTCCCTGGGCTTCCCAGGCAGGAGGCTCCGACTCTCAAATAGGGGACAGACGGCTAGAGGTGGAAATGCAACAGACCAGGTGGCAGGGGACAGGGCGACCTTTCCTGAGGGCCTGGGACATGGCTGGGAATGGCCACCAGCAGATGTGGACACCACTACCCCGTTGTCCACTTCTTCCTCCCTCTGCTGTGTGTCCCTGGCTGATTGGTGGCTGCCAGACAGGTACAGAGGGCAGAGTGCAAAGCTGGTCCCTACTAATGCACTGCCTTGCCCTCCCAGAGGGAACCCCTCGGACCCTGGGATGGCCTCCTGCAGTCTCTGATCCCCAGGACCCCAACACCCGCCGTGCTTTGGTGACCAGGTGAATAATTCAGACTGCAGAGTGTCAGCCATGAAATATTCATCAGCTATCTCTACACGGCAGCAGGAGCGAGTGTGGGGGCGACGCCATCCCGGGCCAGTGTGGCTGGGCCTCCCGCCTGCCTGCCTGCTCTGCTCTGGCATGGGTGGATGGGGTGCTGAGGGGCAGCCCAGGCTTTGGCTAGGCCCAGGAGGATGGAGGGCCTGGAGAGGCGGGGACTCTGGCGGCAGGAAGCGCGCGGAGACTTAGGGCTGGGGCTGGGCCAGGTCTTCCGGAGGCAGTGAGAGGGAGGGGCATCAGATTGGAGCGATGGGGGGGTGGGAGGAGCAGCAGATGCTGGAGGGGTGGCCTGGCGGATGCGGGTGGCACCTGTGCCTGACAGGGCGCACGGACAAATGCAGGGGGCATTTGGGGTGAGGATATGAAGCGCTGCGCACCTGGGGAGACCCTGGCCCAACGGATCTCAGTTCACATCTTGAATTTAGGTTTGAAAGCTGGGCAGCTCCTGGGTCAAGGTTAGAGTGTGGCTCCCCCTCCTGGACTACTGTGGTAACTACACTCGGGCCCACTGTCGGTCAGCCTGGTGCCCAGGCCAGCTTCCGCGGTGCCTGGCAACACCCAAACCTGGCGGTTGGGGAAGCAAGGGCAAGGGACTGTGAGAACAGAAGGCTAGGTCCCAGCTGCCCCTCCCTGTCACTTCATGCCTCCTTCAGGCCGGGCCCTCGTCCCTCAGAGATGTGATTCTCATGTCATCTACCAGCTACAGACCCATAGCCACCCCTAGCCCTAGTCTTCATTGTTCGTCTGAAAAATGGGACTGGCTGTGTGATTTAAGAAAAAGCTGCATGCCGGGCGTGGTGGCTCATGCCTGTAATCCCAGCACTCGGGAGGCAGAGGCAGGAGGATCATTATGAGTTTGAGACCAGCCTGGGCTACACAGTGAGTTCAAGGCCAGCCTGAACTGTATAGGGACGCCTGTCTCAAAAACACACACACATACACAAAGCTGCAGGGTAAGGGGGCGGGGCAGGGCGTGTGACCCCACAGAGCACCTGCCCAGATGCAAAAAGCCCTGAGCTCAAATCTCAGCACTCCACCCCAAAGTAGGGCGGCCTGATAGTGACCATGGGGCAGGCCTGTAATCCTGGCTCCTCAGGAGGCTGAGGCAGGAGGACTGCAAGTTGCAGGCCAGCCTGGGCAGCTTGGGGAAACTGTGTCTCAAAACATAAAAAGGGCTGGGGGTATAGCACTGTTTAACCCCAGTACCAAAACAGAACAAACAAAACAAAAAAACCCTGTCGGTTCCGTAGCACACGAGAAGCAAGCAGCTGTGTGTATAAGGGGGTCTAGCCATGTGACTGCTAGGTTAGGGACACTGACAAAAGCCAGGATGTTCAATTAACTGAACAGCAGGTAAGTACTGTTTTAGTATAAGTACGTCCCGTGCAGAATTTGAGAGATGCTAAAACATTACTTGACGTTTAGTGGAAGTTAATGTGTCACTAGGCTTTCTAGAGTTTCTATGGTAACCCTGTCACTCTCTGGTAATCAGAGGCCCAGGCTAGGAGCACCTCTAGAGACCAAGCATGAAGCTGGCCTGGCAGGGGGCAGGACAGGGGGGCAAGACCTGCTCTGGCCAGGAAGTCAGGGAGGCCTCATGAAGGAGAGGTCCCTCCTGAGTCTTAGAGACAGAGAGACATGAGCAAGAGCACAGAGGACAGAGAGCAAGTCAGGGCCGCATGGTGACTAAGTGTGGCTGCAGAGGTAGGCGAGGCCAGGTCACAGTGTCCCAGTGGCATTGGTAAAGGGTGGGTCTGCTTACTGAGGGCAGGAAGCACTGAATCCAGCATTTTATAGGAAGGCCACTGGAGCCAGGTGTGGTTGTGCACACCTGTAATCATGGCATTCTGGGAGGCTGAGGCAGGAGGGTCTCCAAATTGTGCCCCAGCCTGAGCAGTTTGGCAAGATCTTTTCAAAACTAATAAATAAAAGGGCTGGGGATGTAGCTTAAGGTAGAGCCAGAGTCCAGAGGGAGTGGGGACAGGTGGTGACGAGGTCCCCCTCCAGACCACTCTCTTAGGGCCTGCCCCCCAGCTTGACTCAAGAAGTATAAGAGGCTCTGGAGGCAACAGCCGCCCGGAGCCCAGGTGGCCCTGGTCTTCACAGGGGAGTGGATGCCCAAACCCAGAACGGTGCCACGCCCCTGTACCTGGCGTGCCAAGAGGGCCACCTGGAGGTGATACAGTACCTGGTGCAGGAGTGCGGCGCAGACCCGCACGTGCGTGCCCACGACGGCATGACCCCGCTGCACGCAGCGGCACAGATGGGTCACAGCTCGGTCATCGCGTGGCTGGTGAGTGGGGGCGGGGCCCGAGGGCGGGGCCCAAAAGGCTCCTGGCGTCTAGCGCGGCCCTCCCCCCCAGGTGAGCTGCACGGACGTGAGCCTGTCGGAGCAGGACAAAGACGGCGCCACAGCCATGCACTTCGCGGCCAGCCGCGGTCACGCCAAAGTGCTTAGCTGGCTTCTGCTGCACGGCGGCGAGATCTCAGCTGACCTGTGGGGCGGGACCCCGCTGCACGACGCCGCGGAGAACGGCGAGCTGGAGGTCTGGAGACGGGGGCGGGGCCAGGAGGGCGAGGGCGGGGCCGTGAGCCTAGAGGCGGGGCCCAGGCGTGAGGGGCGGGGCTCGGGAGAGGCAGCAAGGCGCCGCGTGGGCTCCCTCTGCTGGCGGGGTGCTCTCAGTACATCCCGCCCGGGTCGGATATAGGCACACAGACACGCACACGTGCACGCACACATAGACAAGCACATGCACACACACAGGCCCAGCTCGATGCGTCCTTCCCATCTCACCCTGCCAACCCCACAGTGCTGCCAGATCCTGGTAGTTAATGGTGCGGAGCTGGACGTCCGTGACCGTGACGGGTACACAGCCGCCGACCTGTCGGAATTCAACGGCCATAGCCACTGCACCCGCTACCTACGCACCGTGGAGAACCTGGTACGTCCAGGAACAGCTCCAAGGCACCATCTCCTTTCATGCCCTGCCCGGGGTAATGTCTTACCCTTCCCCAAGGAACAGACTGAGGCTCAGGGTTTGAAGTCCCTGGACCCACCAGGGGGGAAGGTGACTCAGGAATTTGGAGCCACTCAGCCCAGAATCACCGCTCACTAGGGAGTAACAGGCAGCAAGGGAGGAGAGGGTGAAGGTTTCAGAAAGGAGGCCAGGGAGGACCAGAGCCACCTGGATAAGGGATGAGGCTGGGAGGTCGAGAGGCCCGAGTTCCCTAATCCACACAGATCTCCTGCCGTCCAGGGAGGTGCCACAAGAAAATCCATTCCCACATGGGTAAATTGAGGTTCTAGGAGGCCCCAGGTCACACAGTTAGTAGGTGGTGAAGCCACCAGGCCTGGCCAGGACCTCTCTCTCTTGACCCCTACCCGGTACTCACTTTCTGTGTTGGTAGTAAATCCATAACTGGGTGCCTGCATGACTCTTGGAAATTATTTTACGATGGTTGCACAACTGTGGATAGACCTACTGGGACTCTGGCTGGGGGGTGGGTGTCTCCACACTTAGGATACGGACTGAATTGGGTTAAATGCCTGCCTGCATCAGTCAGGGAGAGAGGAGGTGGGCCTCAGGCACCCTCAGAAGCACGCTGGCCACGAGAGAGACTTCCACGGGATGGCTCCTGGCCGTCTGCCGGCACACAGTGGTGAACCCTCATTCAGTGATCCATAGAATACGCAAGCCCAGGGGTCAGAGCCTGGAGATGGACTGGGGAACAGACTTCCCCCTGGAAAGGCCCCCCAGAGTGAAGGTGGCTTGGCAGGTAGTGAGCAGCCTGTCACCTGGGGCATACAAGCAGCAGCAGACACCGAAGGGCCTTCCTGCAGGTTTCTTCCACTGAGTCTGGCTTCAATGTTTGGCTGCAGGTGTGGGCCCCTGCACACCAGGGCCTGCCAGCCTTCCTGAGAGCCTGCCAGGCTGCAGCTGCTCACAGCAACAGCCCAGTGGTTGAATTCTGACAGTGTCAGGTGTTGTCTGAGTCCATCTTCACGATGGTCTGAGTTGTGCACTCCTACGGCATTTACTGCCTGTCAAGCCCTGCACTTTTTAAATCTTGTTTGGAGCAATGCATGGTGGTGCGTGCCTGTTGTCAGGAGGTTAAGGCAGGAGGATCGCTGCAAGTTGGAGGCCAGCCTACCACAAAAAGACATAACCTTTCCCATGCGTGGGGCAGATGATACATTATTCACATTTACAGGCGAAGACCCTCAAGTGGCCAAGGTCACAACACTAGCAAGTGGGATCAAGGGTATCCAAAGTCACTGTCCCAGCCTGCACAGCCTGGGATCCAGCCTCTGTTGTCCATGGCCCACTGAGATCACAGCTGGGTCCACTTGGTGCCTACTAGTGCCAGCCAAGGTGCCAGGCAAGCACCCTCATGCCACCCCTAGGTCCCCTGAGCTCTTGGTGGCTCACAGGATGGAGGCAGGACCTGGTATCCCCTCACCTGGCAGGCCTAGCATCATCAGTGTCAGCTCCAAGCCACCAAGGGTGCTGGCCCAGAAAAGGCAAACATTCCCAAGGAGTCCCTAATTACAGGGCCAATGAGCGTGGCTGTCAGCCGTTACCTGGTGCCAGGCGTGCGTCTTTGTCCCAGGGGGCCTGTGACACTTCTCATGCAGGGAGGGGGCATGGGGCAGGGAGGAGTAGTTCTGGGCAGGAGGCATCGGAGGTGGCGGGCTTGCCGGCAGCAGGGACACCATGGGCAACGTAAGCAGGGCCCCCTCCCCTGGCTCTGTCCCCTCCAGGAGCAGACAGGCACAGTGGGTGGAAGGGAGGGTAACAGACTGGGCAGGCTGAGCTGGAGCTGCCCCCCAGCTGAGCACCCCTGCCACACCCTATTCCCAGGGCCCGTCAGCAGATGGGCTGGGCTGGTGTGAGGCAGGAAGGTAAGGTAAATCGACAGGGTTTCAGCCAAGTGTCAGGAACCAGCGTTCCTGTCCCTGTTGACCCCAGCTGCAGCCCTGAGCCCCCACCTGCATGCACAGGTGCGTGGCTCCTTCTGAGGTGAGCCTGGTACATGGCACTTGTTCCCTGGGTGCAGCGTGGGCCCCTTCCCCCAAGCTGGTCTTCTCCTTCCAGAGTGGGAGGGGTCAGGGCCTGTGGTCAGGCCCTGCTGAGGGCCCGGCCTCAAATCTTAGCCTGAGGAGAACCTCGGCCCCTCTCACCATGGGGAAAGGGACTCGAGGAAGGGAGGTGGCTTCACCAGGGTCTCGGTCCAGGGTGGCCCCAGCGGGACCTTGGCTCGGTGAGCACTGGTCTGTGGGTCCAGCTGCCTTCATGTCCTCCCTGCCTTCCCCCAGAGCGTGGAGCATCGAGTGCTATCTAGGGATCCTTCCACCGAGCTGGAGGCCAAGCAGCCCGATTCGGGCATGTCCTCGCCCAATACCACCATGTCTGTCCAGCGGCCGAACTTTGACCTCAGTTCACCCACCAGCACCCTCTCCAACTACGACTCCTGCTCTTCCAGCCATTCCAGCCTCAAGGGCCAGCATGGTGAGTGGGCCGAGTGGGAAGGGCAGGGGAGGCAGACTGCAGCTACCTGCAGACTGACCAGCATGCAGCCCTGCCTGCAGCCAGCACCCTAAACACAGGAAGGGGACACGGGTGTGTGCCTGTGCTCACCACCCACCTATACGTACCCTCGTGTGTACGCTTTCCCCCAGGAAATCCATGTGCACCTTGCACATGGTTCATTGTTCTCAGCTACTCACACCTATTGGTGCACACATAGTGAGCAGAAAGGATGCTTAGATACCCACAGGCTGGTGCAGATACACATACACACCCACATTACATGCCAGCACACAACCCTGTTTCCATAGTGTAAACCCTGGAACACGCACACACTGTGTCTACAGATAAACATGCGCACATTCATCAGTGCAAAGCACCCTGTGCACAGATGTGACAGGCTCAAGCACACAAATGCACAAAGCCTCAGGCCTGTGTGTACACATGCCGGCCACACCCACCTGTCACTGCTGCTTCCCACTGCCAGGCGGGGCCCACAGAGCTGGAAGGGTGCCTTGCAATGGCTGGGTGTGGCCACACAGACTCCTAGCACCTGCCAGGAAGAACTGCCCTGCCTAGCCAGCTGGGCCTCTCCTCAAAGCACAGCCTGGAGCCCACAGCCCCTGCTTTCCCTCCGAGCCCGTGCACACCCCGTCCTTATGACAATAAACTCAGGGCTGGAGAGGAGAGAGCAGCCGGTATCGCCAGAGGCCACGGTGAGCTGCGCCAGGGAACACTGCTGAGACAGCCCTGCCTCTGCAGGTGCTTTGCAGGCTGTGGGGAGTCGGTCTCAGGGGACAGCCTCTACAAACTCCCCAGCCTGCTTCTCACCTGCCTCCCCAGAGCTTCCGGGTGCAAGGGCTACAGACATACAGAGCTACATGGACATGCTGAACCCAGAGCTGGGCCTGCCTCCAAGCAAGACGGAGAAACCTACACACCCGCCGCCGCCACCCCCCAACTTTCCCCCACCACCCCCACCCCTAGGCAGTCCGCTGCCCCCGCCCCCACCGGGCTACCCTGCTCCCCAGCCCCCCTCAGGGCTGCAGGCAGCTGACATCTACATGCAGACCAAGAGCAAGCTGCGTCATGTGGAGAGCAAGACCCTCAGGAAGGAGGTAGTGAGCCCTGACCACCTTTCCTCAGCGTTACCATTGGCCAGAGGGGGAAGATGGGTACAGGTGGGTGGCCTGGCCCTGGCTCCGAGTGCCTGGGCAGCTCCATGGGTGTAGGAGGTTGGACAAAGCTGCCCCCTGAGTGGGTAGTTGTGGTTGGAAGGCTGCAAACCCAGATGGCTGTGCCATGCCAGGAAAGGGTTGTCAGGAGTTGGTGGAATGCATGTAGGCCGACTTCCTGCGGATGTGCGCATGTCCAAAGCCCTGGACTCAAGTTGAATGGCACCAAAAGGGTTTATTCCAAGTCGCAGGCCAGGGGAGAGGGAGGAAATCAAGTAGACCCTAGCAGACCGGGCACCTGGTGGCAGACAGGGCTGAGGGCGGGGTAGCAGAGGGTGGCTCAGGCTTGGGGCTTGGATGCACATGGGTGGAGCTGTGGGTGCCCTGGGTGGAGCCAGCATGTGAGAAGGGGTCAGCCCATGGAGCACAATGAACAGAAGTGTAGGGCATTCAGCCAGTGGGCTCCTGAGGCTCTGGAGTGGCAGAGGGGATGAAGTCAGGTCACGTCAGGACAACTCTGGGAACCTAGGCGATGAGACCAGAGAGGGCGCTGGAACACTGACCCAAAGGGATAGAGTAGGGCTGTCTGAGGGGAGGGGACCAGCTGAGCCCATAGGCGGCCAGGTGTGCAGTGGTAGCGATGCCTGGAGTCCTGCTGCAGGACAGAGCCTGTAATCTTCTCCCTGGCCCAGGGCAGGCCACTGCAGGGTAGGGTGGTGAAATGTTTGTTCAGGTGACTCAGGTCACAATGCCCTCCACGGGGTACCTAGGGAGGATACTGAACCTCCACAGGGACTCCACCCATACCTGACTAGACATCAGATTCTCCTTTTATCTTTGGAGGAGGCAGAGGATGACTTCCTGGCACAGCTCAGTGCCCTAGGCAGTGGCAGGTGGCCCTGTCCACAACTAGGGAACAAGTGGCTTGGCCCGCGCCCACTCCCCACCCCTGAGCCCAGCCTTCGCCCAATCCTCGCGCCCCTGAGCAATGTGTGCGTGCAGAGCCGCAGGCTCCGGTCCTCTCTACAAAGGGCCCTTTGTGTGCCACTGCGCCCCCAGCGCGGTGCCTGGACTAGGGGAGACAGCAGGGTCGTGGCGACAGTGCCTCCTAGGCTGCAGGGGGCCGGCTGGCCCAGAAAACGAATCCAGCGTGTCACGTTTCTTGCAATGTGAGCCTGGCCAGGCGGGAGGCAGAGGGTCCGAGGCCACCAAGAGGACGCACAAGCTGTGGGGTGGGCAGGAGACAGCCTCCACGCAGTCACTCGGCCTTTGGCCTTACCACCTCATGTCCCTGTCCCCGCGCCGGGCTTAGTGGGGGCAGCAGCGATGGGGCGGGAAGCTGCGCCGTCACCCGAGCCAGCCTGGCGGGCCCTGAAACCCGAGGCTTGGGCACGGGTGTTGGTGTCGCTTTCACGGATGACGATGGTTTCCAGATGCAGGAGGGGTAGGGTAGGGTAGTGCAGGGGCGCGACCCGGAACCGGGCTGAATATGAGAGGCTGCACCACGGGCGGTCGGGTCCTTAGCCGCTGGGTGCAATGGGGGCAGGGGTGAAAGCAGGTCGGGGTGACCAGGACACGCTTAGGGAGACAGGCACGGGGGCAGGGCCGCGCCGGGGGTGGGACAGAGCCAGCGCATCCCCGACAGCGGGGGCGGGGATGGCACCAGCGGCCTTGGGTAATGCCAGGCCGCGAAGCCCATAGGCAGGGGGGCGGGCGCGCGGGCGGGGCAGAAACCCGAGCGCGAGGATCGGGTAACGGAGGTGTCGGGTCCGCGCCGCCCCCGCGCCAGGTGCACAGCGGGGGCCACCGGCACAGTCGCAGGTAGGTGCAGCCCCGGGCCTGCGCAGCGTGGGCCCCGGGTCTGCAGCGCCTAGCGGGGCTCGGGCTCTCCGTCGAGCTCCCTCCGCGCCCGGACCCCGCTGGAGACAGTTGGGAATCCGGGGGCGCGCGTGCGGGTGATCGGGCGCGGGGTGCAGCCAGGCTTTGGGGGAGCTGCCCCTTCTCCGGCTCCCCCTGGCGTCCGGACTGGGCCACTCCGCCCCCAGGCCCGCCCCTTTTGGCCTCCGTGGGGGCCTTCGGTGCCCTTGCTTGGCGCGCGCCCAGTAGCCCTCCCCGTGGGGCGGCCAAGCCTGCCCGTCCCCCGGGGCGCCCGTGACCCTAGGCCTGCCCACGCTTAGACCGTGGGGTCGAGGGGCCGGACCTGCTGCCCTGCTTGACGGCCTCTGGCTGCGACCCCAGGGAGACCGCGAGCCGGGCGGGGAGGCGCGGCGTCCTCGGGTGCCCAAGCCCACAGCCCGCTGTCCTTCCACAGCCCGCAGTCCTTCTGCAGCCCGCCTCGCACGACGGCCACCACGGGCCGCGCAGGCAGGACTCCTGCCGGAAGCCGCGCACCTCCAGCAAGCAGCCCAGCACGGGGGAGTACTACCGCCAGCTGGGCCGCCGCCCCGCAGAGCCCCCGGCCGCGCGCCCGGGCATGGCGCACAGCGAGGAGGTGCGCGCCCGCCCGCCAGCGCCCGCCGCCTCCGCCGCCGCCACCTCCTGCCCGGTTCCGGGCCCCGCCGCACGCGCCTCGCTCGCCGGCCTCTCCGCGCCCCCTCAGGCGGCCCTGCTCCCCGGGAACCACGTGCACAACGGCTGCGCCGCGGACCCCAAGGCGCCCGGGGAGCTCCCGCCGCCGCCCCCGCCGCCGCCTCTGCCCGAGGCCTTGAGCTCGCCACCGCCCGCCCCGCCTCTGCCCCTCGAGGGCACGGGCCCGGGCTGCGGGCAGCGCCGCTCGTCCTCGTCCACCGGCAGTGAGTAGGGGCGGGCGAGGGTGGGGGCGGCGCCAGCCCCGGAGGGCGAGGGAAGTGTAGACACCGCCCCCTCCCCAGCGGCGACGCCCGGTCCTTCCTCCTCCTGCCGCCCCTGCCCCAAGGAGGATTGGCCCTAACTGGGCTCTAGGAGGCTGCTGCTCCTGGCCTGTCTTTTACCATGTGGGGGGCCTCCCAGCTCTGAGGGCCCTGAGTGGCACTGGCTTTAACGGGAGCAGATAGCTGGCAGGCCATCTTTTCAACTCCTGTCCTCAGTCTGTCCTCCTCTGCCCAACTCTCTCTCTCTTGCTCTTCCAAACTCCAAAGGACTCACTCTAGTCTGATCCTGCCTGGTCCTGGGCCAGCCAGGGCCTGGCGAGGGGGTTGGGGAGTGGGGTAGGCTTTCTGTTGACTCCTCTGAATTTTTACCCCCTTTGGGGATTGAACCAGGATCTTTGCCCTGAGCTACCTCTTCAGCCTTTTTTTTTTTATTTTTGAGACAGTCTCCCTAAGTTACCTAGGCTAAACTCGAAATTGCAATCCTCCTGCCTCAGCCTCCCAGAGTGCTGGAATTAGTTGTGTGGCCACCCATGCTTGGGCATTCTTTGAGGCTCCATCCTGCCCACCAGCCCACCAAGGTGATGGTGCTCCAGCCTATCACCAGACTGGGTCTTAGGGTCCCAGAGATTGGAACAAGGTGTTTAAGCACTCTTCTGTAGCACATGGTGCACTGACTTCTGTCATGGAAAAAGTATTTTCAGGATGCATCAGAAAGAGGCACGTAACAGGTCTGTTAGGCAGAGATTTTAGGATGTACTCAAAAATGGAGTGTGGGTGCTCAGAGAAAGGGGGCTCATAAGAGTAGAAAACTGAGAACGTTAGTAACTCTTTTGAAGGGAAAAAGCCAGGCAAATGAGGCCCAGGCCTGGGAGGGCGTTAGCCTATTCCACAGGGATGAGCGTGTTTCGTGTTTTGTTTTGTCTTTTAGATTATTTAAACTTGGGGGGGGGGTTTCACCCGGCCTGCTCCTTATCTTAGGATCAGTCCTCCTGTTCCTTACTGTCTCAGTTTTGGAATTTTAGCATCCCTAAGGAATTCATGGTATGCTGGGCTGATACGGAAGGGATCTAAACTTAGCCTCAGGCTCCATCGCCTTGGGTAACTTCAGCTGCTTCTGGAAACTGCAGTATTCTTAAAAGTACCAGTTTTTAAAAATTTTTGGTTTCCTGGTTTCCTTTCTACTTCTCTTGTCTTTCTTCTATCCTGCCTTCCTCCCATCCTGGCCTGTCCTTGGCCACCTGGCACCAGGGTCCTGCTCAGCAGCCGCACCTCCAGCCCCACCTCCCTGACTCTGGCGGAACCGTGGTAGCACACCCACCCCAGCCCAGTGCAGTGCTAAGGCGGGGCCCTTGCAAAGGGGGCCAGCCAGGGCCAGAGGCAGCCCTGTGCAGCCCTCGGGGTCCTGGACAGACCACCCTTGTGGGGCCCCAGGGCACCCGGAGCCAGGGTAACCAGGGCAGGAAGGCTCCTCCTCTCTCCCACCCCTGCTGTCCTCCCTGGCCCTCTCACTGTACCCTTCTGTCCCCGTCTCACCCTGGCCCCTTGCTCCTAACTTCACGGTCACTTCTCTCCTCTCGGTTCCTAGAAGTGAGAGTCCTGAGACACCGGAGGAGTAAGTAGCCACTGGGGCTCTGGCCGGGGCTGGAGCTGGGGAGAGGGCTGGCTGCACGCTTGCTCGCTGGGAAAACGCAGCAGAAAGGGCCAGGACTTGAGGAAAGGGCAGGCCAGGGGCCAGCAGGCGAGGGGACCTGCATGCCACCAAAGGCCCCTGCACCTGACACCTCTCCGAGTACCCCATCACAACCACGTACATGCGCGGCATTTGGGCCTGGCTGACAGCTTTGCCCAAATAATGAGCTAGCCACACACTGTCCCCTCTTTTCCTGTCTTTGTGACAGACTCTGGCATCTCCCACCTGGGCATCCAAAAGCTCTGGGCCAGTTTTCCTCCTCCCCTCTGCAGACCTGACCCCTTCCTCAGGGCTCTGAAATCAGCCCTCCCTTAGTCCCCATTCACCTCTGCCAGCCACGTCAGAAAATGCAAACTCTGCCCAGGCATTTGCATGCTGCCCACCTGGCTCTGCTTCCTGGGTGCCCTCTCTCATGTCCTTTGTAAGCGCCTCCTTCCTGGGTCCCCCAGAACTGAGCAGTGCTTGGCCATAAGTGTGCTCCCCGCTTGCAATCAGTGTGTCCGCCTATCTGTCCATGGTTGTGGGCTCAGGAAGGATCCAGCTGGGTGCTGGCACTCCAGGGTCCGAGTCTGTATGACTATAGAAGCACCAGTCAGCTCAGTCCAAAGGTCATAGGGCTGTGCTGATGCAGGGAAAGGGCCAGAGAGAGACTCCACCCTGGTGGGGCAGAGCCAGGGTTGGGACAAAGGTCAAGAGGCCGAGCTCCAGGTAGTATTTTGGAGCTGGGCAGCCAGTGGCTGGCAGATACATATGCTGGAGTTCCCAGGGCCAGCCCAAGAGCCACCATGGACTCCCAGCGGGCTCCGGGCAGGGGCTCCACACGCTGTGAGTAGGGTTATGCAGATAGGGTGGGCACTGTGGGCTGTGAGCTGGGGGTTCACCTCTAGGTGCCCTGACAACTGCCCCAGGTACCCCAGGATCTGGAGAGCTGCCTCTGGGCCCAGGGGAGGGCCATACCCATCTGAACTTGATAGGTGGTCTTCAGAGGGGCAGTGGGGTGCTGGGTTCCTGGATCCTGTCCCCAATCAATGCCCCCTTCTCCCATGGCAGGCACCAAATCTTTCAACATGATGTCCCCGACGGGTGACAACTCTGAGCTACTGGCTGAAATCAAGGCGGGCAAGAGCCTGAAGCCAACACCACAGAGCAAGGGGCTGACCACAGTGTTCTCGGGCAGTGGGCAGCCAGCCTCCCAGGTAGGAGGCAGGCAGGCACCCCGCCCTGGCTCCCTGAGCCTGCCCAGTGCTCAGCGCCGCCGCTTCTCCCCGCAGCCCGACTCACCGCTGCCACCAGCATCGCCTGTGCCATCTCGGGCCCGGAGCCCCACCCCACCGGCCACGGGCCCCCAGCCCCTGCTCAATGGCACCGTGGTGCCAGCACCACCTGCCACCCCCGCACCGGGCGTGCAGCTGGACGTGGAGGCGCTCATCCCCACGCACGACGAGCAGGGCCGGCCCATCCCCGAGTGGAAGCGACAGGTGATGGTGCGCAAGCTGCAGCTGAAGATGCAGGAGGAGGAGGAGCAGAGGCGGAAGGTGGGTGGGCGGGGCTGCCCAGAGAGCTCTGGTCTGCGGCACCTCCAGCTCCTTTCTTGCACCACCCCTGCAATCTGGCAGAGCTCGCTGCCTCTGAAGAACACTGGGATGGCAGGAGCAGCCCCTCCCAGGACTGGCCCGAGTGTCCCCAGCCCCACTAGTTTTGCCCTTTGAAATGAAGTGGCAAATCTGCCTTCAAATCATCTGGGACCTTGCTTAAATGCCCACTGGGCCTCAGGCAGTCTCAGGGATGCAGATTCTGCATTTCTAACAAGCTCCTGGTTTCGATTGATGATGCTTTGGCCCAAGGACCACTCTGAGTCATCCAGAGGACTTTGGTCTCAGGCTGACTCTGTCCCTGCACTGCCACTGTCCAGCTGCTGATACTGAGCCTTGCTCAGCCTTAGTCTCCACATCTGTAAGATGGGCTGCTCATTGGTAGCTGATGGTTTCCCTGAGCACCATCTGTGTGCTCTCCACACTGCTGTAGCCTCTCAGGGGTCACAGTGAATATACCAAAGCCTGCTTCCTAGGTGGCTGCCCGTGTCTGTGTTGATAAGCAAATAGTTGTTCCCAAGGAGATGAAATAGGGTGGTGGGAGACAGTGGCACCTGGGGATACGACTGGGCCACGTAACTTGTCCCGTGCTGTAATCCAGTGCAGGGGCCTGCCTGGGTGGCCCTAAATTGGCCACCCTCTGGGCTGGGCGTGGCAGTGTCTAAGGCAAGACTTGGAATGTGAATGGCGTTAGGGCAGGTGGGAAACGAGGTCCGAAAGTCACAGCAGATGTGGCTCCAGATGTGGGACTGCACAGTGCAGGCTGAGCTGGAGGGCCCCTGCCAGCACCCCAGAAGAGAACCAGCTTCTCCTGGGGCAGCAGGCAGCCTGGGGGTGCTTCTGTGGGAAAACAGTGAAGTGGGGAACCGATTGTGGAGGTTGAGATGACTCAGGAGGCCTGGGTGGAGGTGAGGGTAGCAGCCCCTAGGGAGGAAAAACTGGCACCAGAGAGGTGGCCTAGAGTGACTGAAGAGAGGAACCTGCTGGGAGGCTGAGGCAGGATTGCCAGGTTCCAGCTGAGGGGACTCAGACCCTGTATCACAAAGGGTGGTGCATGTGTGAGCCCCGTCTGGGGACACTGACCACTGGGGTACCGAGGGCTTGGCTATGGCAGAGTCTGGGAAGGGTCAGTGGCCTGGCATGAGAGGTCTTGCAAGGATTTGGGCTGGAATTGGCAGACCTGAAATAGGAAGAGGGGCTCCGCTGAGCCGCTCGAGGACCACACCTTTCGCATGCTCCTTGGGTGGTGTAATGTGCAGCCAAGCCAGCACGGAGAGCCCTTCTGCCGGCCGACCCTCTCCACCTTGCAGTGGCAACCAGCGACTGGCCAGGCCCCCGCCACCGGACCAAGTGGACACTGCCCAGAGTCCAGAGCTGAAGCCTTGAAGAGTGTCATCGCCGCCGGCCAGGCGCGGCCCACCCCTGCGCGCGCAGCCCCGCGGAGCCATTACACCACCCCGGGACATGCAAAAGGTTCCCCAGCGCCGCCACCACCGCCGCCGTGGGAGCTGGGCCAGAGGGAGACGCGCCTCCCTCCCCTCTCTTGTCTTCCCCGCATAGCTGACGTCTGCCCGCTCATGCTGCTACCCTCCGGAGGGCTGGAGGTACGTCCAGGAGCGCGATGCCATCCTCGGGCCCTTCGGTGAGCTCATGACCGAGGCCGACATCCTCTGCATCGAGCAGCAGATAGAGAACCTGCAGGTGCTACACAAGGCGCAGAAGCTGGAGGCGCGCCTGGAGCAGCTGGAGCTGGAGCTGGAGCAGCTGCTGCCCATCTCCGCCGCGCTCTCGGCACCGCGCTTCACCGTTGACCCGCGTCGCATGCAGGGCCGCGCTGCCAGCCTGCCCGCCTGGTGCAGTAAGATCTCCACGCTGCTCAAGAGCATGGCCTCGCTGCTGGCAGCGTTGGGTGGCCGGCCCGCGCACCTGGCCGAGCTGCTGGCCGCCGACACGGGCCAGCCGCTGGCACCCCTGCCCGACGCGCCCTGCAGGCCCGGGCCCCTCTGCCTGGGCCGCTCACACTCGCTGAGCTGGTGCCGCGAGGCCGTGGCACGCGAGATCCTCGAGTGCGGCGTCTCAGTGCGGCGCCTCTGCGCCACCTACGAGCTACGCGCCCAGAGCGCAGCTCCCGCACGCACCCCGCGTGGTAAGGCCCAATCGCTAGCCAGCGGCCTGGACCGTGAGCCCGTCCTTGAAGAGGACTACGTGGTGGCCAGCTCCAGCGAGTCCAATGCCGCCGTCGCCAATGGCTTGCTGGCCGCCGAGGAGCACCTGGGGGCCCAGGACGCACCCAGAGAGTCGAGGGACAACCAGGAGACATTGCCTGAGTCTGAGCAGCTGGTGTGCAGGCCACCGCCGTCCACCGAGCTGCCTGGCATTCAGGACTACATCGACATGCGCAAGGAGCGCATCGTCTACCTCTTTCTGGAGCACTGGCGCAAGTGGACCTTCCGCGGCAGCTCAGGTCGCCACGCCCAGGCACGCCTGCGTAGATTGCTGCCCCGCGTGGTGGCTGCTGGCGCGGACCCCAACCCCGAGGTTGTTGACTTTGCTCCTCAGCAGCCAGCGGGCAACACTGAGGCTTGCAAGCCCGACCAGCGGCTGCTGCACCTGCTGAAGCAGCGGCAGGTGGTGGGCAAGCTGCTGGGCCACTGGCGGAGCCTGCTTCGGCAGGTGCCCGCACGCCAATCCCATGGCCTGCGCCTGGCGCACGGCCTGTACTGGCCCGAACACTTCCTGCCGCCCCTGGGCAGTGGAGAGCCCCGGCACTACGACAGCCTCACACTTGACCTCTTCATGCTTGGCTACTTCCAGCTGCTCGAGATGGGTCTCAGCCGGGAGGAGCGCAAATTCCGCCACCTGCTGTGCTATGAGATGTTTGACCGGCTGGGCAGCCACCCGTGGGAGCGCATCCGCCTCTTCCACCGCGTGGTGATGGAGGAGGTGGAGGCTGGACGGCGAGGCTGGAGTGACGGCTTCGAGGATCTCAGGCGCCAGTTCTTCGGAGACAGCCCGGAGGCTGAGCCGGCCCAGGAAGAGGCGAAGAAGGATGAAGAGCACGAGGAAGATGAAGTGGAGGAGAAAGAAGAGGCGATGCAAGGGGAGGAGAAGGAAAGGGAGGAGGAGGAGGGGCCCGGGGAAGAGGCTGTGCCGGCGCACCTGGAGGACCCGCACAAGGGGGAGCCTGAGCACCCTGGCCCTGCGCCACAGCCTCCGCCTGCCGCACCGCCCCCCGCCTCGATCTCAGGGCCGCCTCCTTCCGAAGCCCCTGCGGAGGACCCCTTGGAGTTGGTGTCCGAGATGGGCGAGTTCAGCAACGAAGACATCTGCCGCTACATCGACCGCAGCTTCTCCTTCTGGAAGGAGAAGGAGGCAGAGTTGTTTGACATCTGAGTGAGTCCAAAGTTGCACCTCGAGCATCTTGGCTCCTGCGCTGGTCTGAAGCCCACCAGAGGCCGGAAGTGGCAGAAAGAACCCGCCTTGTGAAAAGCTGTGTGCTCATGACCAGGCTGCCTGAAGCCTTGAGGTTCCCTGGAGGGAGGCGGGGGTGGGGGGTGGGGGGGACATTTGCCTGGCTAGGGGCCATGGCACACGGCCTGGCTGGGCTGTGGAGGGGTGGCCAGGTGGCAGTGCTGAGCAGCCTCTCCAGTGGGGTGCAGTGGGCTGCCTTATGGCAGTGTGACGCTGTCCCTGTCTCTGGTCTTTCACTGGAACCCGTGGCTGCCCGCTTGGCCACCTGCTCAGTGCTGTGCATGTGCGATGTGTACAGAGCCTTTCTCTTCTGTAACAACTGAGGAATAAAATGCTTTGGTGGAAGCTGCTTGTGTCAGATCCCCTGCCATGATGTCACTGCAGTCCCACAGCGGTGGCTGATGTCCGCTCTATCGGGAAAAGGGCAGACATGGGCCAGAAGGCCTTGCATGGTAGACCAGGGGCAGCCTGAGCCTGCTGAGCTGGCCAGGTGTATGAGATCTCAAGTCTGCGTCCGCTCAGAGATCCTGGGCGACAGTCCTGAGGCTATGTGCCCTTATGGGGCCTCAGCTGCTTACTCTAGGTCCCCTCTGTACAGCCTACACTCGCCTAGGGTCTCTCAGGTGCCACTTCTGGGGTGTGGCCCTGGGGCTCTGGGGGCAAGAAGCTCCTTCCATTTGTACCACAAGAAGGCACCATAAAGGTCTCTGCCGCCAACCCTTTGTGTATCCCTGGGTTGAAAGTGTGGTCCCTGGGTCCACAAGCTCCCAGCCCGTGCAGATCCTCAAGTTTTCTGGTTGTGTTTCAGGAGGAGGAGGAGGAAGCCCGGCTGGCCAGCCTGCCTGCCTGGAGGCGAGACATCCTCCGGAAGAAGCTGGAAGAGGAGAGGTGAGCTGGGACCCAGGAGGGCACAGTCTGTCAGCCCCCCTGTGTGTACTGCTCTGTGCCTAAAGTTGGTGGCACCAACTAATGCTGTCTCTTTCTCCTTCCAGGGAGCAGAAGAGGTGAGTGCAGGGCTGGCCCAGACCTGCCACCCCTCCCCCCCAGCCCTTAATCCACCCCTGTCCCAGGCACATCCTGTCACCCAGCCCTTATAGCATGACCTGTGTGCTCCCGGTGGTACCACCGGAGGCCTGTGCCCCAGCACCTGGGCCCAAGGTCACGCTCTCCTGTCCGACAGCCTTGTTCCTGAATTACTCAGTTCCCTCCTCCTGTTAATCCAGCCTTTCTTCCCACCCCACCCCCAGATCCATGCCCGGCACATCTGGCCTCCAAATCTCAGTTCCTTCCCTGCTCACTTAGCCCAGGGCCGTAATTGTAATTTTAGATCTTCTAATTGCCGCAGTGAGAAAATATATAGTGAACTTAATGTTTTATTTAACCCCATAGATCAAAATATGATTTCCACATATAATCCATATCAAAATTATTAATGAGAGGGCTTTTGTTTTTGTAAAATGAGGTCCTGCCGTGTTGCCCAGGCCAGCCTCAAATTTGCTGTCCTGCCTCTGTTTCCAGGGGATTAGGGTTTATTGGCATGTGCTACTCTGCCTGGTTTTTCTTTTTTTTTTTTTTTTGGTCTTTTTGAGACAGGGTCTTGCTATGCAATTCAGGCTGGCCTTGGGCTCACTTTGTAGCCCAGGCTGGTCTCAGACTTGCAATGATCCACCTGCCTCAGCTTCCCAAGTGCTGGGATTACAGGAGTGTGCCATCATGCCGGCTTTTTTTTATTTTTTATTTTATTTATTTATTTATTTATTTTGTTCCTAACTGCACTACAGATTATTTTTTATTTTTTTAAATTTATTTTTGGTACCAGGAATCAGAGTCAGAACCTCATGATTGCCAGGCAGGCACTGAGTTATACCCCTGGCCCCCAGTTTCTTTTCTTTTTCTTTTTTTCCGGTACCAGGGATCGAACTCAGGACCACCTGCTTGCAAGGCAGGTGCTTGTGCCACTGAGCTAAATCCCCAGCCATCTTTTTTTTTTTTTTTTTTTTTTTTTTTTGAGACAAAGTTTCACTATAAAGTTCAGGCTGGCTTCGAACTTACAGGGATCCTCCTGCCTCAGCCTCCCGAGTGCTGGGATTACAGATGTGTGCCACCACACCTGGGTTGTTTTTTAAAAAATAGTAATGATTTTCTAAATTCTGTGCATTTTACATCCACAATATACCCTAGCTTGGTCCACATTTCAGATGCACTGTGGCCGCACTGGGCTTGGTGCCCACTCTGTGAACATGCTGACTGCCCTTGTTACCTGTGTGGGACTGGGGATGGGACACAGGGTCTCAGAAGCCTTGGGCAAGTGCTTGACCACAGAGCAGCATCTCCAGCTCCCTCTCCTGACTCCTCAGCCGGCCCCTAGCAGCCCAGCCCATTCCCTCGACAATTCAGGCTGACCACTCCCCCAGGGCTCTGAACTTAGTCCCAGGACTCTGATCCGAGTCAGCTTCTAACACCCTTTACCCAGAACCGTGGGCGACCCGGTCCCTCAGCTTCCAGGAACACCGGGGCCCCTAATACCCAGCCTCAGCCTCCCCTTCCCCCTCAGTGCCCCAGTAACCCAGCTCCGCCCCCATGCAAGCCACACGCTCCTCGGCAGCTCAGCCCACTGCCCCCCAGGGCCTGGCCCGGGCTTCACTGCACTCTGCCCGCACCCCCGTCTGCAGAAAAGAGGCGGAGCGACAAAAGCAGGAGAAGATGAAGCGGGAGAAAGAGCAGTCGGAGAAGCTCCGGACCCTGGGCTACGACGAGACCAAGCTGGCGCCCTGGCAGCGACAGGTCATCCTGAAGAAGGGGGACATCCCCAAGTAAGAGTCGTCTCGCCTCCGGACAGCAGCGTCGCCAGCCGGGAGAGGTGTGGTGGGGGATGTCCCTAGCCCCCGCCGCCTCCGGCTGGGCTGCTGTGGAAGAGCTGGGAGCCGCGCCACCCGCCCCCTCCACACCCGGACCCGCCCCGAGCCCCGCCCCGGCCCCCCAAATCCCCAGCCCGGGCCCATGCTGGAGCGCAGCGCAGCGCCGCCTCCGAGCTCCGCCGGCCCGGCCCGGCCCGCGGAAAAAGTGCCCAAGCGGTTGACGCAAAAAGATGCCACTCGTTTGCATTCCGGGTCACGTCCACTCGCCTGGTCGCTGGGTGGCAGGGGGCCACAGCAGGCCTCGCCTCGCCCCGCCGCGGGTGGTGACAGTTTTCCCGCGGGGCGCGAGCGGCTGCAGTCCCCTCCCCCGCACCCCGGAACCTGCGTCGCCGCCGGCACATCCTGGGTGGAGGCGGCCCGTATCTCCGGGAAGGGGTTTTCCTCCCTCCCCGACCCAGATCCGTGCCCCATTTCTCATCCTCGCCCGAGGGCTTCCTCGCAGTCATTTGTTTACCGGAAACGATGCAACCTGCCCGTCTGGGCGGAGTCGCTGATTCCAGGGTCCCCCACAGACTTCCCCGCAGCATATGCCCCGTCCCTGGCGCCCCTGATCCTCTCACTGCCTTGGACGAGTGGAGGGCAAGGGCCCCGCTCCAGTCCCCCACCCCCATTAAAGCGTTCTCCACCGCCTGAGGCTCCAGTCACTCCGTCCTCGCCGAGCAGATAACCGAGCCAAGGGAGCACCCGGGAGCGCAGGGCCGCGCTCGTCTCCACCGTGGCTCCCCAGCCGGGGTGCCCAGTCTCCCAGCGCGTCAGATGCCCTGGGAAATGAAACTCGGGCCACCTTGCACCCCAGCCCACCGGCACCACCGAGGAGCCACTTGTCTTAACAATTTAATACCAACTCGGGCCAAGAGGACAGCTAGATGATCCTGCGCCCCTCCCGCACGCGCCCTCGCCGATTAGCGCGCCCCCAACGGGCAAGCGGACAAGACAGGGCGAGGCCGGCGGGCGCTGCTACGCAGGGCCCAGCCGGGGAATTCAGTAAGTGACATAAAATGTCTACACGCATAAGTAACCGTACTTAAGGCTTCTGCCAGGGTCACGCGAGCGCCAAGGCCAAAGGAGACCCCCGCGTCAAGGACCGCGCTGCAGGCGGAGGCGCAGGTCCTCGGCACAGCCGTCCAACCCCATGCGCTCCAGGGCCGCATAGACGGCGCCCAGGCCCGCGGGCTGCTGCTGGCGCCATCGCTTGAGCATCTCATACTGCTGGTCGCGGAAGCGGCCGATCTCCACCTCCACCGCCTCGATCTCCGCCTCCCGCAACCCCAGAGTGCGCACGAACTCCTTCCAGCGCCGCGCAGGAACCGCGTCCATCACGTCATACAGCTGCGGGCCCGGCTGGAGCATAGCAGCCGGAGAACCTGCAGGGGGCGCTGGCGAGAGCGGAGGTGCCAGAGGAGACCCTGGGGGTAGGCCAGAGACAGGCACTAGGGAAGCAGGAGTGGCCAAGGGGCAGGGGACAAGGATAGCACAACCCTTTTGTTAGGGGTGGAAAGTGGTCAGGCCACGGGCCTTACCAAGTCCCTTACCAAGCCCAAGACCCTTACCAAGAACTTGACTGGGCAGCTGGTCCCAGGACTGTGGCACCTGCTGACAGGGTGCCTCCTGGGAGCCAAGGGTCCAGCTGTTGCCTGCTAACTGGACAGTGCAGACCTTCCCACTGTTGCCAGGGGATTCAAGGAGGGCATGGGTGCTGTCCGGGGATGACAGGTGGGAAACCTGGAAGCCGAGAGACCCAGGTCAGCCCTGCTTGGCAAGTGAGACCAGGAGTGGGGATTCCTGGGTCAGGCAGTAGACACCTCCTCCCTCCCAGCCAACTCCCTCAACAGGCCCTGCTTTCTCTGTGCTGCCCCAACTTTTGTGGTTCTGGAAACTGAATTCAGGGTCTTTGCTCTGAGCTACATGCCCAGCCTTTTCTAATGCTTTTCTATTTTGAGGCAAGGTCTTGCTAAGTAGCTAACCTACCTAGGCTAGGCTCGAACTTGCAGTTCTCCTGTCTCAGCCTCCCAGAGGTGTGAACCACCACACCTGGCCCTGCTGCCCTTCTCTTGTCTCAAACCCCAGGGGCACTCATCTGCCCGAGTGTCAGTCCCTGGGTACTTGTCTGGACCCTCTGGCAGACAGAGCCACTCGGGGGCCAGCACCACACCAACCTCATCCACTAATAACTCACTTGGCCCAGCCCCAGGGTCACCAGTGTTCTCCCGGCTACAGAAGGGGGCTTCTCCCCGCACGTACTGAGGTTCTTACCTGTGATGGGGTCAGGGCATCTGTGCCAGCTTTGTCTGCGGACAGAAGCAGAAAAGATTTGGTCAGCAGCCAGGCACAGTGCAGTGCATCTTGCATCCCTGCATCCCACCCTCCCAGCCTCAGTTTCTCCTTCTGGATTGCCCATCCTGAGCCCAAGTCCCTGGGCTCGTGAGGACTCACCCGGAACCACCAGCTTGTGAGGCTGGCAGCGCCAATACAAATAGATGAAGGTGACCCCAAGCAGGAACGGAACCAGCAGGCCCGCCACAAGCACCTGGACCCAGAACACTGAAAGAGGAGCTGGTGGGTGCCAGGGAGTAGCCCAGCCCAGCCCTCCTGCTGGGACCCCCAGTGGCTACCTACTCGGCCTCCAGCCGCAGACAGCAGCACAGGGCTCGGGACAGCTTCCCAGAATGCTCCTGTGTAGTGGTGGAGGGGGGCGGGGGAGACAAGGAGCAGGGCAAAGTCAGGAGGGGGTGCTCAGGACACCTGATAATGTCCCCACCCGGAGCCCCCCCCCCAGCCCACTGCCCTGTGTGTCTCTCTCTGCCCAAGATTGTTCCAAAGTACTGCTGAAATGTCACCTGAGTCCTCAAAAAATCACCACTACTTGTGAAGCCTCCAGAGGCAGGGTCCCTGCAATATCAGCTCCACAGGGCTGAGACTTCTCCCTGTTTGGGTTCCTGGGTAGCCCCAGCACTTAGAACAGTCTGGGATGTGGCAGGTGCCCCAGAGGAAGCTGGATGGGTAACGGGGCGTTTCCTTTTATCATACCGCTGAAAAGAATCTCCTACAGCCCCATGTTCAGATGGAGAAACCCCAGATCAGGAAGTTATTTCTCTAAGCTTGTCCAAGACCTAACGGCAAGCCCAGAATCTCTGCCCAAGTCCTGAAATCTCTATCAGTGTGAAAATATAAATGACAAATCCATAGTATCCATCTAAAGGGGTACTAGAGGAAATTTTGAGCCAGGTGTGGTGATGCCCAGCTCTCAGGAGGCTGAGGCAGGAGGATCGCTGTGAGTTTGAGGGCAGCCTGGGCTACCTAGTGAATTCAAGGCCAGCTTGAACTATGTAGCAAGACCCTCTCGAGGGATAAAAAAAAGGAAATTCCAGCAGAATTGTACACCTCCTTATTTATCTGGCATAAGATGAACCCACAGTTTATGTTCCCATCCCTTGTGTCTAAAATGGGGTCCACAAACCCCAGGGCCAAGTTCCCTCTTTCCTGGCCTCTCCTTGTACCCCTACACCTGCAGCACCCCCAAAGCACTGGTTCCACTCCCAGCCCCTTCCCTCTGGCCCAGAACATTACGTGGGGCAGGACACGCAGTCATCGCTGTGTTCATAGAAGCCAGGCGGGCAGGGCCCACAGCCATTGTCTCTGCCAAAACCTGCAATCCGAGAGATGGCGTGGGTCAGGACTTGGAAGCGGGTGCAGGAGAAGGGGGTGGGCGGGGTACTCACAAGGCACAGGTGTGTGGTGGTCAGGGGACTTGCAGTCTGGGCATGGGAGGCATCGGAAGGGTGAACTCGCCATGCAGGGTTTGACGGAGCAGTCGACAAGCCAACCAGGTGGGCAACCACAGTGGGTGTCTGCCACCACGGAGCAGTTCACCAAGGCCACCTGGAAGGCTGGCAGGGTGCAGGGAAATGGTCAGTGCCCGGGATGCCCTCAGAGAGCAGGGGTGGGTGTTTCAGAGAATGGAAGAAAGGACAGGCCAGACACACAGAGAGACAGAAAGACAGGGATTCCCTGAAAGGGAGAGAGGCTGGCATAGCACAGCTGGCCAAAAGCCAAGACAGACAGAGGTCAGCAGGAAGACAGCAGCCAAAGGACATCTCGAGGCAGGAGCAGGGGAGGCACAGGGCCCGCACACCTAGAGGTCAGTCCCAGGCCGGCCGCTTCCTTCACAAAGACCCTGACCACAGCCGGTCCCCCCACAAGCACGGGAAGCCCCTCACCCTCCTCATCGCAGGCCTGGCAGCGGGTACAGTGGCCATTATAATGGTTCTCCCTGGCCAAAAAGGTGCCCCGGGGACACGGGAGGCAGGTGGAGTCGCCACAGTGCTCCGTGCAGCGGGCCTTCAGGTAGTGCCCTGTGGAACCCGGACCAGGGTCCGACAGTCAAAGGGGGTGCCCAGCACCTCCAACCTGGCTCCCCGCCTTCCTTTCCTCCCTTCCCATCTCTGGCTCCGCACCTCCCTCCCAACCTCCCCCTACCTGCCACCCTCCTTCACCCCACCCAGTCTCCAGCTGATCCCCCCTACCCCCCACCCCTGCAGCCACTTACCCATTGGGCAGCCCCTGCAACAAAACGGGCCATACCTCCTCTGGACGTCACCAGCACAGTCACACCTGGAGCCAGGGGTGCTGCCCTGAACCCCGACTCCCAGCAGCAGCAGCAGCAGGAGCCCCTGGGATACAGGGATGCTGACCCGAGGTGCCTCTGCCCTTGGAGGCTCCCACTTTTCAGACTCCTGGGCAGAAGGGGCACCCATGGGCGGGGAGGGTGGGTCTGGCTTCCTCCTTCCAGCGCACAGCCCAGAAGGGGCCCCTGCAAACCCCTCGCTCTTCCCTTCTGCCAGGCAGGAACCTACCCAGCTTTTCGAGATGAGACCCCAGAGCCCCCGGCCTCAAGAAAGCTGTTTCCTCTCAGCGGAAGAGCCCCACCCCGGCCCGGCCTCTAAGTAGGTCATGGGGGGGCACCCCAGCGAGGCAGGGCCACTTCCCTCGGAGCCTTCCCGCCTGACCCGGGCAGCGGGTCCCCGACACCCGCGGCCTCACTCACCGCAGCGCCTGCTGCCGCCGCGCAGCCCCTGGGCCGCGGCTCCATAGCCGCGTGCAGCGCGCTGGGCCCTCGACGGGTGGGCGACAGGCCGCAGGGGACAGGCACGCGCGCCTCGGGGGTTGCCCCGCCCCATGTCGCAGCGCCCGCCTGCACCCAGCACTGGAGCCGGCGGCGGGGGTGGAGGGGCGGAGCCCAGGGTGAGGCTGCTGTTTTCAGGACGCCCAGCTGGCAGAGCCAAGCCTGCACTCCTGCCCAACTTCGGACACCGCCAGCCCGCCCTACGCCCACCTGGCGCTGGCCACGTGCCCCCAGGCCTAGGTCTGGACCTAACCCTGAGAACCAGCGCTGGAACCCGGGCGAGGAGGGCGGGGGCCAGGGGACTAGAAATCAGGGCCAGTAGCTTCTCTCTGGGACTTTTTTTTGCAGGCACCAGGGAGCAAGGTGGACGGAAAGTACCCAAAAGTCCCCAGGGGGAGACCCACCATCGTCCCTCAGTGCACCCAGGTGTGGGTCCACGGAGGACTCAGTCCTGAGTGCTAGGGAGTTCGGGCCACAGAGCCTGGGACAGTCACCTGCTGTGGCATGTGTGCTCCCTGAAGGGTCTCATGAGAGCTCTACTGGGGGCCTCCGGCTCTGGCAGGAAGAGGCTTGGACTTGGCACACCCGCCTGGGCCACCACCACCCCACTGCTGCTTCCTGGGGGTCTCCCACAGGGCCCCACTGTGGCTGCAGGGGCACAGAGCCACCCAGGACCTGGGTCCTAAGTCAGGAAAAGGGTGGCCCGAAAGACAGGACTCTCTGGAGGAATATATACAAGTCTTTATGAAAGAACCATTGCTCAATAAATACTCAGCTTTACACAGCGGCAACCTGAGCCTGGGGCGGCCAGCAGGACTGGGAGGGTGGGTGCTAGGGACAGGGGCTGGTCCCTTTGAGGCCAGATGAAGGTGGCAGTGGGACCAGCATCTTGGGAGCCCAGTCCAGAGGGCCAAAGCTGGTAACCTCAGGAACAGGGAACACCGGACCCTCTGGGCAGGCAGGGGCATCCTGTAGCCTGGGTCAGGGGCTCCACCAAGCTGTCCTCCACTCCATCGAGTCCGGCAAGTGCAAATCAGCCAGGGTGGTGGGCAGGGGTCCCGCCCAGCACTCTGGCTCAGCAGAAGCAGGGGCCACACTCCCAGGAGGCATGTATCTGCTGTCCCTTGGTCAGCGGCACCCTTGGTAGGGGCTCCCTCTGCTCAGACTTCCCTGCAAGGTGAGGAAGGGAAAGACGTCCTTCCTTGGAGGACATCATGGAGGGGTCCTTCATGCCCTTACCTCAGGAGCCTCTGCGGCCACCCGCCATAGACAACTGAGTCCCGGCCTTGGGGCAGGTCCAAGGCCCCTTGCCCATTCCTAAATGCCCATGCACCTACTCACAATCATGTCCCTACCCAGTATCACAGCTAGGTGTTACCAACGCCAGCACCCCGAGCTGTCTGCCCCGATCCCGGTGGGGCTACTCACGAGGCAGTCAGCGTGGAGTTGAGCAGCAGGGTGGTCCTGATTCGATAGAGCTGGGCCAGGGTCAGCTTCCTATGCTGAGCTGAGAGCCCTGGAGGGGGCTCAGGCTGGGCCTGGGGTGACACCCCCAGGGGCAGCTCCCTGCACCTCCTCCTGGTGGGGCCCACAGGCTCCCCAGCCTGGCAGCTGGCTCTGCCCTCCAGCTCCGATGGCTTAGGGCCACAGCCCAGGCTAGATAGTCCCTGATAGTTCCAGCCAGGCCCCACTCCCTGTGGGGAGCCCTGAGTCCTAGTGCTAGGGGTGGCAGCAGCCAGGCAGAGCTCAGACAGGCTTCGGCTGGGAGCTGGGGGTGCTGCGTGGGGGGCAGCCCCAGACAGCAGCTGCAGGAGGTTGGCTTCAGATTTGGACTTGAGCAGGTGGGGTGGGCGAGGCAGAAGCTGGACTGGTGTCCGTCGGCGGAGGCGGGGTGAGGGTGGAGGGGAAGGGGTGCGTGATGGCTCTAGGGGCTGGGGTGTCAACTCTGCTACTGGGGCTGGGGCTACAAAGTCCTGCAGGGAGGAGGGGGACAGGGTGCCATAGGCTGAGTCCATGGAGCAGGAGCGGCCATCCACTGGGCCCAGGGGCAGCAGCTCGCTGGTGGGCGTGATGGAGGAGGCTGTGGTACCCAGAGAGGTTTCATCCGACTGGGAGCTGAAGGGGCCACTGTCAAATTCGGGGGAGGACAGCATCTCCCCTGGCTGGACCACAACCACAGCCAGGGTCTCGGTAGAGCCATCAGAAGCACTGTGGGGCCAGGAGGAGAGTCAGCCCAGAAGGCTGGCATCACCCTATACTGGCAAAGCACAGAGGGTCACAGCTGTGCCTGGGGAGCTCAAGGCTCAGAGACCTTTAGGCTCCTTTGCCCACTACGGATCACAGTGCCGAATCTCAGCTCCCACTAACAGGTCAGAAATGGCTCTAACACTCCTCCCTGCCCACACTCTTCTGGGACATGGTGCCATCCTGAGTACCCCATTAGGTGTACGACGTGAGGAAAGGGACATGGCTGGTCCCTGCCCAGGGTCAGCTTTGCAGCTTTGGATCCAGGAATCCTGGGCCACAGTCCCTGCCCTGCTGAGATCTATGAAGGGCCCTTGGGGAAATGTACCAGCGCTGGGAGTTCAGGCTGCGGCTGCTGTTGTGCAGAACGGTGGGGGAGCTGGCCACCGAAGTGCTACTCTCCTCGTCTTCCTCCTCTTCCTCTTCCTGCTCATCTTCCTCCTCCTCCAGGCTCTGCAGCTGCTGCTGGCTGCCTGACTGCTCCTGAGCACGCAGCTGCTGCAGCTGGTTCTGTGGGTAGGGTCAATAGGCACAGGGGAAGAGTGAGCTAAAATTGGCAGCACCTTCGCCATACTCCCCTGCCCACCACCCACCCACAGGCCACCATGCTGTCACCTGGGCATTGTAAATGGCATCCACCCAACCACGGCATAAGGCCTGGCCACTGGCCTGGAATGTGTAGGCACCCACAGCACTGTGGAACTCGTTCAGGTGGATGAGAAGGAAGGAGCCTGGTCAGGTAAGGGCCACGTTAGTATACACGAGAACTAGAGCCCTGCCCAGGAACAGGGGGCCGAGACGGCTCACCAGGGTCCCGGAGTTCCCGGCACACGATCCTGTCCAAGAGCAGCGGTGGCCTGATGACTTTGGTCCTCTCAGCCTTCTTTACCGCCTTGGTCACCAGCAGCAAATCGGTGAAGAGGAAGCAGTACACATCCATCTGGGTGAGAGACAGGAGGGGCCGGGGAGCCAGGCAGGCGTTCCTGGGATTGCTGCAGCACTCTCAGTCTGTACCCGACCCCTTCCCCACACCCCCCTCCTTCAGATTCTTTGGTTGAGATAAGGTCTTGCCCTGTATTCCAGGGCTGGCCTTGAACTCCAGGGATCTTTCTGCTTCAGCCTCCAAGTGCTAGAGTTAAGGTGTGTACACTAGACCTGGCTCCCATTAATGTTTTAAGTTAAAACAAAAGGGAAGATCACTTTATGTCACTGAGATACAGTTGGGAGCTTATCACAAGCACAGGAAACATAGGAAAAGGGAGGAGGTTTTACTGTTAGTTTGCTGGCTCTCCGCATGCAGGTCTGAAGGGCTGACAGCCCTCCCTGAATGGACCTGTCCCCACTCCACAGGGGGTGAGTCTCTCTGTATTACAGAGTAAAGGGCAACACTAGCAAGGTGGCTCAGTGGGTGTGGCAGTGCCCTATCAGTCTGGCACTCTGCAAGGCAAGACAGGAGCATCACAAGTTTGAGCTCAATAACTTAACAAAAGCCCATCTCAAAATAAAACATCATGAAAGGACGAGGAATGTGGCTCTGTGCCAAGACTCCGGGTTCAATCCCTGGTACCAAAAAACCACCAAACCAACAAAAAAGACCAGCAGGCACCTAATCACTCCTCAGGGCGACCACTGAGTCACTAGTTTTCAGGCCACCACCTAACTGACCCGGCAGCTGAGAACCACGAAGGTGCCCGGGCAGAAGGAACCCACAGGGCAAGCCAGGGTGTGGCGAGGTCCGGCCGCAGCAGGGAGTCACCTTGCTGTCCTTCCCCTCCTTCATCTTCAGGCTGCCCTCCAGCAGCAGCTGCCGGGTCTCCTCGGGTGAGGCTCCGGGCATGGGCGCCGCGAGGTCCAGGTGCAGAAACTCCTTCAGGAGCTGGGGCGGGGTGCAGGCGCAGGGCAGGCAGCTCAGGGCCAGGCCCGGCTCCTCCTCCGAGGGCCTCGATCCTCCCACCCACGGACTCTGCGCTCACCTTGTCCACCTCGTCGTTGCTGCCCTCTACCACCTCGTAGGCGTCGATGCGGCTGGCCACGGCAGCCAGCCGCCGCCGCTCCTGCCGCTGCCTCATGCACGCATTCACTTGGTGGATGAAGCGCTCCACCGAGCTGATCTGCGGACCGCGAGGGGGCTTCAGGCCTAGGGTATGGAGGGCCTGCTAGCCCGCCCCGCCCACCGCCCGGTTACCATGGTGACGACGGCCTCCCTGGCCCGCGGCTCGTCAGTCTTCCTCAGCACCGACTTGAGCAGCAGCGGATACTTGGTGAGGCGCTGGTGGGGCTTGGCCAGCATGTCGCTCAGCTTCAGTCTTTGACACTGCTGGTGCTTCTCGGCCCACTGCAGCCGGGAGGGGGCGGGGAAGATATGAAGCCACACCTACAACCACGCCCCGGGCCGCTCACGGCGACGCCCAGGTCACGCCCATAACCACGCCCACTGAGCAGACCTGCTTAACCCTAACCCCGGGTGCTCACCGTGACGTACGCGCGGAACAGGTCGTTGTCACGCAGCAGGCCGCGCATGTACTCCATGCAACCCTCCTCCTCCATGCAGTAGCGGATGTAAGGCTTGAAGAGGGATCCGAACTGGGCCAGAGCAGAACCACAGCACCGGTGACCGCGCGCCCCTGGTGGCTTCCCCAAGCGGCAAGCTCACGGCCCCAGGCTTGCAGGAGAGTGGCCGCCCGAGGCTCGGTGAAAGGGGAGACGAACGAGTGGGGATTCACACCCGGGCGACTCACAAGGGTCCCCTGGAGCCCCGGCCAAGGAGACTGGCCAGTGATGGGCCGACGGCATCCGGACCCAGAGCCTTTCCGGTGCCCCAGCCCTACCTCGGTGGCCCTGCCCGTACCGTCTTGAAGCCTTTGAGAAAGTCCCCGGGCCGCAGCAGGGTCCGCGCGCGCCGCGCCTTGTCCAGCACCGGCGCCATCACGGTGCCCCACAGCGCGCGGTGCAGGCGCGCGATCTCGGGGATGTTGCTGAACAGCCGCTCCACCTCCACCTGCCCAGGAGGAACGGTCGGCACGGCGGACGCCCCGCCCAGTCCTCCCTGCGAGCCCCGCCCCCAAGCCCGCCCCTCCTCGACACCTTCCCCCCCCCCTCCATCGCCCCCAACCCCTCAGCACCTCACACAGTAGCCCGGATTCTTGTAAGTTCAGAAGGCAGCAAAGGAACAGCTGTGGGGCAGGACACACAGCTCAGGCTTCCATCTCCCTGAAGCGCCCAGCGGCCAAGAGCTTGCACTCCTGCCTATTCGCACCCAGGAGCTGCAAGTCCCCCACAGGGCCGCACCTGCAGGGAAGCTCTGGGGATTCTGGCCTTGCAGCCAGGCCTGGAATTCTCCCTTCCACTTCTGTCCTAGCGGAGCCTCTGAGTTTCCGGGGGCTGAGAGTCCTCCTCCCAACAAGCCCTCCTTGGGCCCCCAAACCTACTGCTAGACTCCCACAGTGCCCACCCTGACCCACTTAGGGCATGGGCACAAGGTCACCTGGCACGCAGCAGTGTTCAGAGGCAACTACTAAATGAACCATTGAAGCCTGGCCTGTGTTAATCCATCTAAATGCAGGAAACCTCTGAACAGCCCCCTTCAGCGCCTGTGGGTGGGAATCGCCTCTCCAGATGCCCCCTTCTGCAGGAGACCTGGGGGCAGGCGGGCAGGGGCACACTCACGTTGGTGATCACGTGCAGTTTCCGGATGTAGGAGGCCTCGGTGTGCAGGAGCTCCCACACGGCCTCCTGCTGGTGACACTGCCGCCGGGTCAGCTTCTGGAGGGAGGCCAGGCCAGGTCAGCTGGAGGGAGGGCTGGGGAGGGGCCCCGAGAGGGGCAGGTCACCCTCCCCACGTGGGTGGATGGTCACAGTCAAGACACCAGCATCTGACACCATGGTGACACATGCACACCGTGTTTATAGCAGCAAAACTCATAACAGCTAAATCTTGGAAGCATGTATGTCTATCCATAGAGGAATGGATAAAGAAAGCATGGTAGGAGCTGGGGGTTTAGCTCAGTGGCATAAGTGCCTGCCTGGCAAGCATGAGGTTGAGGTCGATCCCTGGTACTAAAAAAAAAAAAAAAAAAAAAAAAAAAGTGGAGCACTACTCTGCCATGAAGAAGGATAGACTTGTGTCATTTGTAGGAAAATGGCACCTTGAGGCCATAATAGAGAGTGAAACAAATGGGAGACATGAGTTTAAATGCTGTGTAACAAGGAATAAATAAGAGAGGTAACAGGAAACAGGGAGATCAATATTTTGAAAATAGGGGTCCAGAGATGAAGGGGACGGGAAGAATGACGAGGTGTCACATGCCTGCATCTACCCTGAAGACAAATCCAAATACTACGCACTGCAAACAGGTACTAATTAAAAAATTAAAAAACCCCAGGTCTGTCCCCGCTCTGCCATGCCGCGGCCAGGCAGCACACTTCTTCCACTGGCCTCAGTTTCCCCCAAATCCCCCTCACAGGGGCTGAGGAGGGAGGAGGCTGCAGCTGCACCCACCTCGTGGCCGTCGATGAGCTCCCGCCAGCTGTCCTCCAGCCGCGGGCAGGCACGGTCCTCCTCCTCGTCCTCCTCATCTTCCTCCTCCTCCTCCCAGGAGTCATGGTCAAAGCGCAGCTGCCGGGGCGGCCGGGGCAGCCCGAAGAGGCTGTAGGCGTGCAGCTTGGCTTCCAGCTGCTCCATCTTGTCCACCTCCTGGAAGGTGCCGCGGAGTCAGGTCAGGTGAGGTCAGGCCAGCGGGGCCCCTGCCCTGGGACCACATACCCGGCCGGGGGCGCTGGCGCTGGGGCTGGAGCTGAAGAAGCCGCTGAAGCGACTGGCCGCCCGGTTCTTCCAGCTGTCGCCACCCCCGCTGCTTGGGCCACCGGAAGTGGGCAGAGAGCTGCTGGAGGGCGTGGGGGGCTCCTGCCCTGGGACGCTGGCCTCCCCCAGGAACTCTGACATGTTCTTACGCCGGCGTCCAGGGGCCTGGCAGGGGAAGGGTCAAGGCCAGCTCCCATCCCCCACAGTGTCAACCCCAAAAGGTCTCCGGGATCTTCCAGGGATGTGGGAGACCTCTGCACCCCTCTCCTGAGACCCAGACACGCCCTGGAAGCTGGAAAGTCCAGACGCACATTCACCTGACTATTTTAGTTTTGCTTTTGAGACAGGGTCTCACTGTGTAGCCCAGGCTGGGCTTCAGTTGGTATCGTCCTCCTGCCTCGGCCTCCCAGGAGTGCCTGTCATTACACCCTACAAGATTCACCTCACTGTGTCCCCAGCCACACGCGTGAAGCAGGTGGAAAGAAACATGCCACCACCACCAGCACACGGCACCAGCACACACACACACACACACACACACACACACACACACACACAGGAACACGGACTCCAACTCCCTGGCACGGGAACCCCATCAGCGAGGTGAAGAAGGATAAGAAAGAGTCCCCTGTGCGCCCCATCTTCCAGAGGTGCCAGGAGGGGTCGAGGGTGACTCCCTGAGAAGCCCTGCCCGGCCCTTCCTCCTCACCAGAACATCAAGGCTCTCCCGGCGGTTCTGGGGGTCCACACGCTCCAGCGCGGGGGGTCCCGCCCCGGTCACTGGCCGCAGGATGGGCAGGCTCAGGGACTTGGAGTCCTTCACGCCCTGTTCCACCTTGCCCTCGTCCCCCGGCTTGGCTGGGGAGGTTTGTGCGGAGGACAAGTGGTGCTCAGCACCTGGGCCTGGAGGAGGGGACCCCAGTCCTCTCTCCCCAAGGATTGGGGCTCAGGCCTGCCTGCCCTCCCTCTGCCGGACCACCAGCACCCGCCACTCAGGAGCACCACAGAGCCACCTGTATGGTAATGAGCCTTCTTGGGGCCAATCGGAAGTTAGCAGGAGGGGCTCTGATCACCACTGAGGCCTGCCACCTGCCACCTGCTATCTGCCACCTGCCCAGCCAGCAGCGCCAGGAGCCTGCTGCTTACCTTTGACCCTCAGGTAGTGTCCCCCGAACCTGTAGGCCTCAAAGGTGAGGGACAGCGGCGTGTTGGACTGGTCCAGGTAGATGTCCACTTTGCTCAGGGCGATGCCCTTCCTTTCAAACACAGGAAGCAGCACCTCCCTGCATCCGGGATGGAGGCGTGGGTGTCAGGGGGCAGCCCCAGCAGGAAAGGGTACACGTGGGCCACACAGGGCCCTGTCATGTTCTTTTTTTTTTTTTTTTTTTTTTGTCTTTTTCATTTTTATCGGTACCGGGGATCGAACTCACGACTGCCTGCTTGCAAGGCAGGCACTTATGCCACAGCCCCGGCCCTGTCATGTTCTGACTGCCAGGTGCCCCTGGCACAGGTGGGCCTGCTGGCTGGCTTTCTCGGACACACATAGCCACACCTGTGCAGACCCAGGGCCACTGAGCCTGGAGGCCACACCTGCCCCAGTGCCGTGCGCCTCAGCTCCCCCCAGCCCCTCCTACCCCAGTGACTTCTTCTTCATGGCCGGGACGATCTCCGTCTCAATGTCCACGTTGAGGTCAAATTTCAAGGTGAAGCACTCCTTGCTCGGGTCCTGAGACAACAGGCAAGGTCAACTTCTCCCCTGTCACCGCTGGTCCCCTACCCGTCCCAGCCTACAGTCCAGGATGAGAAGCCCAACAGGGATCTCGCCAGCCCTGGCCACCACCGCCAGGAGGCCTCCCTATTTTCCTCCAGCCCAGGAGCTCCGGAAGCAGCCCCATCGGGCCCGGTGGGCAGCCCTGGGCCACAGGACAGGGGGACACGTTCACTCCAGACTGCATTCCTCATCCTGGGGGCCCAGCCTGGTGTCCCCAGCCCCCTCCAGTCCTGAGGGGCCCTCACATCTGTGTGCCTCCTCCTCGCCTTCTTCTTGGACAGCTTCAGGCCCGTGGTCTTCCGGTCCCTGCAGGGAAGCGGAGGGGAAAGTGGGGGAGATGCAGGTGGGCCCTGGCCAGGGCGAGATGTGAGTGGCGCCCCAGGCTGCTCCCCACCACCTGTTCATCCCAGTCAAGAAGTAATCCATGCAGGCTGCGCCCACACTGGGCTGCACGCCCTCTGGTGGTCAAAGGGGACTGGTGCCAATGGTACCCAGTGGGATATGGGAATCCAATCCAAACCGTTCAGAGCTGAGGACGCCGGGCAGCCTCCTCCAGGAATTAGGGGAACGGAAGGGACCCCCAGGCAATCCTTCTGGGAGAAGGCCCCAAAATGTCTGCTTTCCTGCATCTCTGGCAGCACCCACACTGCCCACCTCTGCCCACCTACCCTCTGCCATCTGCCATGCTCTCCTCCTCTTCCTCCAGGTCCAGGGCAGGGCTGGTGCGAGGCGGGCACGAGCGGGTGGACACATTCCGAGCCAGGACAGACCCTGGACAGAAAGCGGGGAGGGGGCTGCCAAGGAAGAGCCTTGGTGCCTCTTAGCCCCTGAATTCAGCTACCTCCCTAGGGACACAGTCTGGGACCCTTGGGATCCTGGCCAAGGAGTGACGGCCCTGAGTTCTTCTAGGAGAGGGGGCCATTCCTCATCAGCAGACCCAGACCCAGACCGACAGAAGCTCTTTCCACAACACTGCACACAGGGACCCCCCCACAAATACGAACCCACCTGCAGCTTCAACATACCCTTCTACAAAATAAGGGTGCTTTGTTTTGTCCGTCTTTTTTGAGACAGCCGCTCGCTATGTAGTTCAGGCCTTGAACTCACTACATAGCCCATTGCGGTGACCCTCCTGCCTCAGCCTCCTGAGTGCTGGGTTACAGGCGTGCACCACCACACCCCACTAAAATAAGGATAATGAAGCCCTGGCTCTGGATGCTACAGGCAGGGACCAAAGCCAACTATTTTCTTTTCAGGTCTCGCCTCCCCAGGCCCCTCCTCTGGTCCTACCCCAGGATGAGAAACATGGGAGGAGGGGGAGCCTCTCTCCGCCAGCCCAGGACCAGGAGCAGAGACAGGGACAGCAAGCAGCACATGCCACTGGGCAGAGCATCAGGAGGGCCAGGCCTGGCCTGGAGATGCCTACGGGGTTCACCCTGCCAGGCTCACCTTGAGGGGCCAGGTCGAAGCGGACATGGCCGTCATAATGGACGGTGCTGCGGAACTTGCTGTCACAGGCCTCACAGAGGTTGAGGGGTCCCCGGCAGTGCAGCTGCTGGCAGTCAGCATGATGGCATACCTGCAGGCACAGGAAAGGCGGGTCAGGCTGGGCCAGCCCGAGCTGAGCGCCAGGCTGCTGCACAGGTGCGGCTGGCCCTGGCCATCCTGCTTTCCAGTCCCCGAGGCACCTTATGCTCAGCTCGAGCTAATGAAGTGGGGAGCCTTCCCCGGCACCTGCTGTGGGGCCACACCCAGGGATGCCTGGGGGAGCAAAACCTGCACCCAGGGAAGACTTCAAGGACAGGACCACACAGCTGTGTGCCAGGCCTCTCCCAATGCACACACAGGAAAGGCCTCGAGAGGAAGTCAGGCTGCTCTTTGGTTTGGCCAGCTCAGCGTTGGCCCGGAACACCCTGAGCTTGGGCAAGGCCTGCAGCCCTGTACCCAGGCCCTCTGCCCTCACTCGGAGCTTGCCCAGGCCTGAGCAGCAGGCCCCACCCAGAGCCTGCAGACTCAGCACAGAGTGACAGAGCCCCAACCTCCAGCCACCAGTCCTTGCCAGCTGGCTTCCCACTTTTCCAGGGAAGCAACAGCCATCAGAAGGAGGCTGACCCCTGGGCATGGTGACACAAGCCTGGAATCCTTGCACTGAGGAGGCTGAGGCAGAAGGATTGTTAGTTCAGCCCAACCTGGGTCATGTAGAGACTTCCAGACCTCAAAAAATAAAAAGGGCAGGGGTGTGGCTCATTGCGGAGGTCCTGGGTCCAACCCCAGTGTGGTGGTGGGGGGCAGCTCAGGCTTTTTTCATTTTTGTTGTTTTTCGTCTTTTTGACATTGGCATTTGGGAAGCACCCTGCTGGCAGTTCAGTGCCTGGGCCAGGACACTGCAGAGCTGACTCTGGCAGTCAGGGTACCCACGACACCATCATCTGGGGACCCTCCCGGGGCTCCCATCTACTCCTCATTCATGAGGCACCAGGGAACACCAATTTGTCCCTCTAGTCTGCTTGGCGGTTTTTGCATCTGGGACAACCAGGCCTGCAGCAACCGTTCCTGCCCTGGCGGGGCTGGGGGTCCACCCACACCCTCTCCCAAGGTTGGCATCCAGGGTTCCCATCACCAAGCCCGCTCCTCTCTGGCCCCCGAGGTCCCCTACCCTGCCTGGCCCTGTGAACTAGCACTGGACACAGTGGCCTCTGGGAGCAGCTTTCCCCCTTGAAAACACATGCAAAATGCTTTTAAAATAAATCAATAAAGACTCCAGAAGTCCAGCGTCTAGGCAGCTCCCAGGGGTCCCTGGACACCACCGCCAGGGCCTTTTCCACGGACCATATCGGGCAATTCAACCTTGGCATGGCCACCCCCGGCCCGACTCCTCCCGGGGCTCCCTCCCACCCTCCCAAAAGACACCAGGTCCTGATGCCCGGTCCCTCAGAATGTCACCTCTGCAAACAACGTCTCTGCAGGCAGCATGGATTCGGGTATCCTGGGTAGAAAAGCATAGAGTATAGCATATAGACTCATCGTACAAAGGAGTCCTTAGAAGAGGGACCCCAGAGATAGGGACACAGCAGAGACAGCTGTGCAGTGTCCAGATATCAGGAGACACATCTACAAGCCACAAGACGCTGGGGCCACCAGAAGTTGGAAGAGGCCGGGAAGGTTCTCCCCCCAGGGCTTTCAGGGACAGCACAGCCCTGCTGCCACCTGCATCAGAGCTAGAAGAATGAATCTCTCTAGAGGAGGGCACAATGGAGTATGCCTATAATCCCAGCTGCTCAGGAGGCTGAGGCAGGGGCACTGCTTTGAGCCCTGGAGTTCAAGGCCAGCCTAGGCAACACATGGAGACACCGTCTCAAAATAAAACAACACAAGCCTAAGAATGAGTTCCTCAACAGGTGGGAGCAATGGCACACGCCTGTAATTCCAGCATCTGGGAGGCTGAAGCAGGAGGACCGCTGCACATTCAAAGCCAGCCTGGACTACGTAGTGAGATTCCATCTTAAGGAAAAAAAAATACAAATTTCTCTTGAATAGCAGCGCCAGGAAATAAATATATTAGGCCAAAACCTGTGGGGTCACTTGGACTCTGTTATGCTCCGTCCAGACAGTTGGAAAATTCTGGGGACTCTACTTTGGCCTTGACAGTTACCACTGCCCTGGTCACTTCCCAACTGGGTGACCCCAGGGGCTTCCTAGCTGATCTCTCAGTCCACACCCACCAGCTGGAAAAGCACAATAGGAGATGTCCAAGCCAACAGACAGACAGCGTGAAGGCCTGGAGGACAGAGTGAGGGAAGGAGGGCGTGGGGTGCGGGCAGGAACAGCCTGAGTCCAGTTCCGACGGGGTCCTCCATGCCTGGGCCAGTCCGGGGCCTGCACCTGTCCTGGCCTCCCCTCCTGGGAGGCAGAGGCCCCTGCTGGCCTGACCTGACACAGGAAGTGGGGCACAGAGAGGGAAAGCAACCTGCTGAAGGTCACGCAGCCAGGGGACAAGACTCTAAAGTCTGTGTGGGACTCTGGATTCCAGATTTTTATCGCCACTCTTCGTTCAAGGTACCTGTGGAGGCCAGGACTGGGGGACAGGAGGGCGACAACCCTAGCTGGATGCTCAAGGGGTCCTCGTGTCCTTCCACAGAAAAAGGAACACATGACATGCCTCCTGGAGGGGACACAGTGTCAGCTCAGCAATACCTGACCTCTGTGTCTAGCCCGGTCCGGTGCCCACAGGTGAGTTTTTTTTTTCTTTCTTTCTTTTTTTTTTTTTTTTTGTACCAGGGATCAAACTCATGACCTCCTGTTTACCAGGCAAACACTTGAGCCACTGAGCCAAATCCCCAGCCTACTTAATTATTTTTGAGACAGGGTCTCCCTATGCGGTTTGGGGTAGCCTTGAACTCACTACGTAGCCCAGGCTGGCCTTCAGCTTGCAGTGATCCTCCTGCCTCAGCCTCCTGAGAATTGGAATTACAGTTGTGTGCCACCACACCTGGCTACACAATCTTGTTTTTAAACCAGTGTAACAGATACACAGCAGATTCCACATACACAGTCACCAGTCACCCACCCAATGATTACACCCTGAGAGTCCAGAGACTCAGCTCCCAACCCTGCGGTAGTTTTCATGAAATCGTCCTGGCCTGTGGCCTCCTCTATTACTGATGTAGTCCCAACCTCTCCCATTCTAGAGACAGCCACAGCCAGGGGACATCAGGGCATCAGGAAGGTCAAGCCCCAGATCCGAACAAACCCTAGCCAGGCAGGTTCGATGAGGGGTGGTTTCAGAAATCCCAAGGAAGATCCGAGGCCCCCAAGGCTGAGGCTGGAGTGGGCTCGGATCCCTCTTTTAAATCACAGAGTCTGCCCAGCTCCCTCCATGGCTGGGGTCTCCTAGGTACCAGATCCAGGCACCCCCTCCCCCACAAAAAAGCCCATCAAGCTGGCCTCTGAGGGCAGAGCCTCTGGGGAGGGAAGGGGACTTTCCCAGGACTCAACCCCCGGGAGGGGACCAGCAGGGACCAGCAGGTCTCGACGCGCCTCCAAAGCCATGGTCTTAACAGAGGGGCCCTCGGGGGAGTACCTCCAGGCTTCCCCCTGCTCGGGCAATGGCACCGGAAGCCAGCCTCACACCTCACAGGGGACTGGGGCCAGAGGCTGGGTGACACAGGAAGGAAGGGGGGTGGCCAGGGGGCCTCAAACATGAAAGGCCAGCACTGAGGGCCCTGTAACCCGGGGTTCGAGCCCCCGACCGCACAGTGCAGCCTCGTCAGGCATCCCAACCATTCTGAGCTAACGCCAGGGACCCTGGGTCACAGCTGTTCACCCCCCAACCCCGCCGGTCTCACCCTCTGCCTCACCTGCACTCTACTGCCCTGTGCCCTGCGGGGCTCCGAGTCCAGGGAGAGTGGCCCAGGGTCTGGCCTGGAGGCCGCTGGCCGCGCAGAGACGCCAGGCCCGGTCCCCATGGTGGCTGGAGGAAGCTGAGGTCTGTGCCGTGCCGGACAAAGCCCAAAGCCGGCCCGGCTTCCTGCCATTGTGTGGCCTCCCCGCCCCGGGACCCAGAGGGCAGGGCAGCGACACCCTGCAGAGGCTTGACCCGCCCAGGGATGCCGCACCCACCTCCCCTCTACCCCTAAACCCTTCCTGGAGGCCTGGCACGCGAGGGCCGAGGCAGGGACAGAGGCAGCCACCCCTCCATGGGCTCAGACAGCTCCCAGCTGAGGCCCCATCAGGGAGGGGTGCTCACAACCCCTGGGGCTGGTGGATTGGGGAGCCCTCTGTGTGGTTGTCAGAATGCCTCTGCACTCCTTCCCAAGGAGGGGAAGGTAGTGATATCTCGATTGTCACCTAGAGGATAAAGTGGACATAAAGAGATGGAGTTCAAGCTGGGCGCGGTGGCACATGCCTGTAATCCCAGCACTAGGGAGGCTGAGGCAGGAGGACTGCTGAGAGTCTGAGGCCAGTCTGGGCTACAAGGTGAGTTTAAGGCCATCCCTGAACTGCACAGTGAGACCCTGTCTCAAAAAGTCAAAACAAAAAAGCAATACAGTGCACCAACAAGGCTAAAACCCAAGCGTCTGACTCAGATCCCAGGGTGGCCTCTTGGGCAGGTGGACGCAGTATTCCTGAGCCAGGAGAGGGCCACCCACCACGCAGCTCATAGGCCTTCAGCGCTGCACACTCTCTCCATCTGGAACTCTGTGCAGTCCGACCTTCAAACCACTGGCACTGGGCCCCCACTACAACATGACTTCCTCCAAAGGGGGCCCCCCCAAAAACGCCCCTTCGCCCGCCCTCTCTCAATCTGCCAGGGTTGAACTGATTCCCGCTTAGCATCCGTGGCCACCACTATTTTGCCCTTTACTCTGTGGTGTTCATGCCCGGCCCAGGGCCTTGGCGGTGGCTGTGTCCTCCGGTCTCATGAGGGTCCCACCACGTCCCAGTACGCTCTTCAGAGGTGACATGGAAGAGTGTACCCATGGGTGAAGGCAAAGGGAGAACAGGGGTACGGGGGCGGGGGGAGTCAGCGGCAGGAGCTCTCCCCTGGCCCCACTCCAACCCAGGTGGGGCTTCTCTGGCTCCCTGTCCTTGTGCTGCCCCACAGCAATCTACCTAGTGACCCCAAGTGTCCCAGGAGCTGCAGGCAGCGAATCACACTCCTGAGACTCCAAGGAAGAGCTGTGTGACAACCCAGCTTGCCGGGGAGGGAGAAATCTTGTGACCTGAGCCAAGGCTATCAACACACAGTGGGAAATGGATGCCTGACCAGGGGACCAGTACCCTGGGCCTCACTCAGGCTAGGGCTGGACACAGGGTCTTGGAGATCACCTTCTCGGGGCCAGGGAGCTCCCACAGCCAGCAAGGGGAGAAACCCCCTGGTATAGGTACGCAGGTCACATCAAGTGGAGACCACAGCTGGGCCAGGGGAAGTCACCTCCCTACCAGGGACACCTGAGGAACTGGGGCTTGGAAGTCCCTGAGTTGTACTGTCACTTGGCTATGCCAACCACGAGGGCAAAGCCCTGCTCCTGAGAGAGCCCAGGCCAAGGAAGCACAGAGTGGGAAGAGAAAGGAACACAGGCCCTGCAGGAGGGGTGCACACAGCACCTGGCTTCCCCTGGGGCCTCTCAGGAGCAGACCCAAGAGGTCCAGGGAGCCACTCCCCAGCCAGCCACTGCAGGCCCGTGCGTCAGGGGCTTTGGTGAAACCGATATGAGCCCCCAGAAACCAGACACAGAGGCTGGTGACTACTGGAGCCCCCAAAAGCTACCTCCCTGAGCCCCAGAAAAGCAGACAGCATCCAGGAGGACCTGGGGGCCACCTTGTCCCACAGTGGGCTGGGACTCCAGCCTGGGCGGAGGGGATAAAGAGCTCAGTGGCCAGGAGATGCCACAGGCCTGGGGCAGGTCTAGGGCCCGCTCCATGCTCGGCCAATAGGACTGACTAGCCTGGAACCAGTGCCCGGGTACAATGATGCCCCTGCCAGGGGCTCAGCCCCGCCAGTGCCTCGGAAATTCAAGGGTGGAGCCTGCCAGCCTGGGCAGGCCGGCCAGGGTGGGGCGGCTCTGCCAGGCAGCCAGGGCTCCCTGGCCCCTCCCATTCCCTCCCCTCTGCCTGGGCCTCACCCTTTGTCCCCCACATTCCCAGGGCCCACTGTCCCCAGGCAGCTGGCAGGAGCCCAGGGCCCCACAGCACAGGCCCTTTCCTCTGGGGTGGTCTCAGTCTGTCTGTGACCCTCACCTCCTGCCCTCCCCTGGAGCCCTGACTCCAGAATTGATAACAGGAGCCTCGAATGGACTCTAAGCACACCCTTCTCCAGAGCCACACAGCAGGCTCCTCAGGAAGGAACAGGGAAGGGGAGTTGGGGTCCAGCCACCCCACACAGATCCTCTCCGAATGTGCAGAGACCCCCCATCACTTCTCTAGAACTTCCTGCCTGAGGTCCTAGTGTTGCCCTGGATGCCAGAGAGCAGGTGAAAAGAACAGGAGAGAGGCAGTGGGTAGCAAACACCCAGGGCACCCCAACCCAGCCTGAGGCAGGTTACTGAGGAATTTGTAGGGCCCCGCACACCCTAGGCCTCCACTGTTTGAAGGTCGCCAAAGTTCACTCCTCCTCTCCCCAACACAGCCTCGGTATGGCCTCCAGCACCCCCTGCTGGCCTAAGAGGGCATCTCTACTTGGCACAGACAGTGACTCACAAGCTCCCCAAATCCCCTCCGTCACCCCCTGCCTGGCCAACAGCCCCCACAGGCTCCTCAGAGCTCATCTCTGGGCAGAATCCTAAGATCGCCAAAGCAGGGGCAGTAACTGAGCCCACTCCCCCTTAAACAGAGGTGGAGCCAGTGGGGACCCCAAAACCCACCCCTAGGCCAAGAACTTTGTGGAACCCTTAACTCGGGATTCTGACCTAACATTAATTCAGGGCAGCCCAGCCCCTACTTCTCCGTGAGACTCACCAAGAGGCCTGGGTCTCCTCCCAATGACTGGGGTTCGGGTCACAGTTGGTGCACAGGGGGCCCGCAGCCATAAAAGATTACATTAGGCCACGCTACACTACCATCTGCATGGGCTGGGCTGGGGACCAGGGGTTTTATGAAAGGCCCAGGAGGCAGCAAGAGGCCACGCGGAGGCTGAGGGGGACCTAGGATCCAGGCTCAGGAGAGTGAGTTTGGGATGGCGTTGTCCCCAAGGGCTCTTCAGAAAGTTCACTGTCCCTGGTCATTAACATGGGCTGCAGGACAGGCGTTGGCCTGTAGGGGCGAAGCCTGATGCAGGAAGCTATCCTGGCAGCAGAAAGAGCCAGAAGCAGGTCGAGGGGCTGGGATCACCCCAAGGCCCAGGGCCCACTGTCCCCAGGCTCCACTACTGCTCCACAAAATCGCTGGATTCTGAATCGCGCCCCCAGGGTGCCTCAGAAACCGCAGCGATTCTCTGGGCCCATAGCTAGCAAAGGGGGCCAATCCGCCCTTTGAGGGGTCCTAGCTCCCCTAAATGCATTCGGGACCAGGGGTTTCCACTGGAGGAGGCAAGGAACCCAGCCCTCTTTCCTTGCTGCAGGAGCTCTGGCAGAGGGCGCCTCCTCGCCCTTACGCCCCGCCCTCTTTACACGCCCACCTTCTGCTCCGCCCCTATTGCAACGCCCACCCTCCACCCCGGGGCCTCTGGCCTCCTGTGCTCCCCAGACACTCATTCCTGTGACCTCACAGGCCACGAATGCCGGACAGAACTCAGATATCACCAAACGCAGCCTCCACTCCGCACCTATCTACACACCCTGTCCGTCGGCTTGGGTAAGCCGCGGGTGCGAGGCTCACCACCCCTGCAGCTGTTTGAACCCTCGCTGGACCAACGTGAATGTCGCCTTCCTTGCCTCCGTGCCCAGGCCCCCGAGAGCCAAGCAGAAAGAGTGTCCTCTCCCTGCCTCCCTCCTCACAGCTCCTGAGAACCGGGGCTCTGGGACAGGCAGTCCTGGTCCAAGCCCACACCTCAGTGTCCTGCTGCCCAAGGCAGGCGCTGGGCTGGAGCGCCTGCGGCCAGCAGAGTGCACAGTGCACGAGCACTCTTATCCCCAGGAGCCACAGAGAGGCTCCCCAGTCTGAGGTGACTTGGTCATAGGCCCCACACTGGGGTCACCAGCAGTCCCTGCAGAAGAGGGGTCAAGGTCCTGGAGCCCCCATCTTTACCCTGGACAGGCAGGGTGGCCCCAGTCCTCTCGCTGGGTCCCCACCCCATTCCCTGGCCCCTCGCTCCCCTTATAGGCCCCCACATCCCTTCCTGCTCACTCTGCTTTCCTCCATCCCAGCACTTCTTTTTCCCCCCCTTTTGGAAGTGGGACTCAGACTCAGGACCTTGCACTTGCCAGGCAGGCGCTTGTACTGCTGAGCTGCATCCCCCAGCCGGCAGCACTTCCTTACTCCCCGGACTCCAGCCACAGCCTCCAGGAAGCCCACCCTGGTTATCCAGCCCTCTTCCGGAGGCAGGTGGGGCAGCTGATTCATCTCAGGAGCCTTAACCAAAGCCCCATGGTGGGCCCAAAGGGAGGGGTCTGGTCCTCTTTGCAGGTGGTCCTTCCTGCTCACCCACCATTCTGAGAATGGCATGGCTGGGCACACTCACTGGGAGGCTGAGGCAGGAGGAAGGCTACATAGTGACTTCAGGGTCGGCCTGAGCTAAGTATCAAGAGCCTGTTACAACACTTTAATTAATTAAGTAGGTAACTTTTAAAGACCAGAGCTATGGGCTGGGGATTTAGCTCAGTGGCATAAGCACCTGCCTTGCAAGTAGGCAGTCATGAGTTCAATTCCCGGTATCAATTAAAAAAAAAATTAAAAACCGGGGCTGTGAAGGCCAAGCTCTGCCAGCCAGGCCACTGCGTGAGGTGAGCAGGTCCCTGCCCCTCTCTGGGCTCGGGTCTCCTTACCCGCCCCAGGCTCTCACCAGGGTTCACTGAGACTGCACTGAGTTCCTCACACCCGGCCAGCACCTAAACGTGTCCAGCCATGAAAGCCTGTGATTACGGACAGCAATGATCTCCGCTCCTCTGCCTCACCAAACCCGAGGGTCCTTCTCCTGTCACCTCTACCTGCCACCTGTGTCCCATAGCACCCCCTTCCTGGACAACCCCTGCTTCCTCCGTCTATCTGCTTCTGCTTCCAGCAGAGGCCTCC